AGATCTCAAAAGAAAAGAGACAATAGAACTAACTCAAAGATGACAGATATATTGATATTAAAATTATCTGATAAAGATTATAAAGCAACTGTTCTAAAATGTTTTAAATAATTACAATCCACTTGCAAGAAATGAAAAAGTAGAAAGTCTTATCAAAGAATAAGAAAAAGTCTGGGGGCCAGGGATTTAGTGGTTCCACCGCCTGCTTTTCAAGTGCAGGGTCCCAAGTTCAATCCCCAGTACTGGAGGCGGGGGAGGGAGGGAAAGAAAAAGAAAAGAATGTAAGTGGGGAGGGGAGGAGGGGGTAAAGGGAGGATGGGCACAAGGGGAAAAAATGAGAACGAAGACCTGTCATGTAAAGGTACAAGATCCCAGTAATGAATGTAACTGTACTGTATACCTAGAATGTATCAATAAATTCAATTTAAAAAAAAGGAAAAGAAAAGAAAGAAAGGATCTGCAAAAAAGATGTGAAGAGTCAAATGGAAAGCTGAAAAATCCCATTGCATTGGCTTAAAAGCAGAATAGTTATCAGTAAACTAATAAAATAATATAAAATGAACAGTGTTTCTAGAGGGCCTGTGGAGCTATAACAAAAGAACTAACATTCATGCCCTGAAAAATCTCTCATAAGAAGTGGAGAAAGATTGGATGGCAGGAAAAGTATTCAAAGAAAGGAATACTTAAAACTTCCTTGTATTTGGCAAAGGGGATAAACTTGAAGACTCCATAAGCTTAGTAAACTCCAAACAGGATAAACTGAAGACATGTCATATGTAAACTTCTGGAAAATCAAAGAGAAACAATCTTGAAAGCAGTTAGAAATAAACAACTCCACAGAGAGGGGAAAACAATTGTATAACAGCAGGTTTTAAAATAAAAAATCATGAAGGCAAGAAGTGACATGTTTATCAAGTGCTGAAAGAAAATCGTTTGTTCTTAGGAAAACTTTGAGGTCTCATGTCACAACTTTTGTTTAGATTCTTATGGTTACCTAGTATTTTGGTGGGGGGTACCAGGGATTGAACTCAGGACCCTGCATGTTATCTAGTATTTTTAAGATCAATTGAATAATTTGTCTCATATTCAATGGAAGAATTTGTCCCTTACTCCAGTATTTATACTAAAAATACCACTCTATTAGTTGATAGTAAATTGTTCTCATATATACAGTAGAAGGGAATTCATGCAGCCATATAGGAGTCCAGTGGTTCACAATGAACTTTTCTTGTTGTCTTGCACATTGCTTTACTTTTGTTCTAGCAGGACCCACGGTGTTGAGTATGCACACCAAAAGGTAACACAAAATGAGGGTTGGATCATTGTGGTTAATCTAATCACATTGGAAACCAAGGGGAGGCTGTAAGTTGTGATTATATAGCCTGTGAATCAGAGTGAGTGGGAAAGCAGATGAGCTACAGTAAAAAATAGGCAGCAGAGTTTGGATCAAACAGTCACTGACAGTTTCCAAATAACCAGTAGCTGGTTGCTAGTAGTATTTGTGATATCAGAAACTCAGTTCCCTCTTCAGTGTATAACCATGATGATACTTGATCTTTTTGACTAAAGTGACTCAAGTGATTGCACAAGACTCAGTGATTGCACATATTGATAAGGATCACCAAGCTGTATTGGATGTAGTTCAAAGTAATACTTGTATACTTCCAGACAGGAATTTTAGATATCAGCCAAATTTGGACCAAAATTCTAATAACAGGAATAGCCATTTTTGCTAGGACTTCTATAAACTATAAGAATAAAAGCTGAAGCCCACATTTTCAGAGAAATGTTATTATATTTTACAGAAATAATTCAAAGAGAGATCCATGACTATTGTTTATGCATTTCCACAGATAGTCATTTTGCATTAGCATAATAAAGGTTGGTGATAGGAAGAACATTCAGGAGGCACAGATAACAAATTATGTTTCAAGAAGTTGGTTGCTGGTAATGCTGGCAATAATATCCTGCAGTAAATATCTGTTGAGAGAGGTGAAAAGAAAATTGCCACAAAAATAAACCCACTAAAAACTAAATAGCAATAGAGGTATGGAATTTCCAAAATGAAATGGGAAAGACACGTAATATTATTTTTTTTGTTGCTGAAACACAGAATAGCATTATAAGTGTTCTACTTAACCCATCTTTAAAAAGTTTAAGCTGCTTAGGTTTGATCATTTCTATCCTCAGGATAAATTTAGTAGTCTATTTGAATTTTTGAGAAACAGCTATTACGGTGTTATTTTGCTGACTTTCTTATTTAAAAAAAAAAATCTTGTAGTGCATAAAATAACTTGATACCAGTTTTCCTACAATAAATAAGAAAAAAATTTCTCAGCTCTTGTTGATGCAGTAACTTTTTCTTTCTTTCATTGTTCTCTATATTACCAGCTTCTGCTGTGTACATATGTGTGCCTGTGCTGGGGATCATCCTTAGAGCCTCAGTGGTGGTGTTCCTGCCTGGCAAGTGCAATGTCCTGAATTTGATCCCAGTAGCAAAAAAATGTGTGTGTGTGTGTGTGTGTGTGTGTGTGTATCTGATTTTTTTTTTTTTTTTTTACCATGAACCATTTGAATAGAGTTGTCCATCTTAGAAGCGGCCCAATATTTTACTCATCATTTTGGGACTTCTACACAAAGTCTCTTTTTTTTCTTTTCAAGAAAACTTTTAAGTATCGCATATTTTTCTAATTGAACAGTATACAGGTTGCTTCTATGACCCCCATTTTTGGTGTTCTGAAGAAAATTTAGCCTTCTATTTTCATTATCTTCAGGGTTCCTCAAAATTAATGTCTACGTCTAATATTCCAAGTAGTTTGTATTTTGCACATTGCTTTCTTTTCTTTTTCTTTTTTTTCGTACCGGGGATTGAACTCAGGTCCTTGTGCTGGGAAGGCAGGCCGCCAAACTGCTGAGCTAAATCCCCAGCGCGCACATTGCTTTCTAAATGTGATGTTTTTGCATGATACTGTGATGGAATAATTTGTTTTTAACTCATTTAAACTCCACAGAGCACTGTAAGTTATAAGTTAGGCTTCAGATGTTTAAGTTATTTAATGTCAAATAGTTAATTAAGTTATATGTGGGTACTAAACCCAGATCTAAAGAATATAAGGCCTTCTACTTTTCTTTACCCAATCACCTTTGAATGACTTTTGGTGATTATTCATAGTAGGAATTAATGCCATGGGATTTTATTTATTTTTTTAAATGACATTTTTAGATATGTGTTTTGGCCCAGGCACAGCTTCAGGCCCTACTTCTTGCTCGCCATTGGATCTTAACACTCTTTTTAGTTTCTTTCCTGTTTATATAGATTTTGGATTATCTGTGTGGCTTTGACAATATTTCCTTGAACTGTGCTTCATATTACACACCATGGCAACTCTGGGGTATTCGTTTTATTCTCAGTTTTTGGATCCTTTGACTGATTTCTAATTCCTAAGCAGAATTTTTAGGTAAATATTTCTCATTGTTTGGGATTTTGTCTGCCAAAATAATAAACACATTTATCATCTTGAAGTGTTGCATAATTTCTTAATCCAATTACAACTTATTTTTGTACTTTATACTGATTTATTTGTAGTACTTATTGAAATATTATTTTAATTTTATATTACATTTTTAAACTATGAAAACAAAAAGTTGTTTAATTCAAGTGTAATCTGTAGTAGAAGTTGCATGAAAACAAAAATATTTACTGTCTGTTTTGAAAATGTCAAGCTACACAGTGATATGGTTACTATTTTTGTTTACACATCTACAGAATAAACTTATTACAGAAAAGTTGTATAACAAAATATAATCTTCCCCATCCAGTACTCAAAACAGCTGATATCAGTCTTTGCTAATCTACCTCTTAGCGATAACCATTGATAACCATACGGTGTATATTCTTTCATTCTTCTCTCGCTGTGTTGTGTATATGTATATACACTAAAGATACATAAATTAATTACTTCATTACTCTGCAGAAATGTACTGGGTCCCCTTGTACATACTTCTTGTCACAGGGCTTTGGTACTTTTTGTTCTCACTTAACCAGGAGATGCTGTCCCTCTCTCAGAAAATCCTTTCTTTACTTCATTTAAACAGTTTTTCTTATTGCTGATTGAGCATTTTAAATCTGAAAATGCAGAATCCAGAGTCTGAAACTTTTTGAGCTCTGACATTATGTTACAAGTAGAAAATTCCACACCTGACCTCATGTGATAGGTCACAGTCAAAACACAGGCACACTACAAACGTTGTGTAAAATTACCTTCAGGTTATGATTATAAGGTGTATCTGTAAAGGCCTACAACATAATTTAATTTTGTAGTTAAGCCCCCATCCCCATGATATGCTGTTATGTACTGTATATGCTGACACTTCAAATTTGAAAAAAATCTGAAATCTAAACACTTCTAATGTCATGAACTTCAAGTGCAGGTATGCTTGAAGTAATACTTCAAGTGAGGGGATACCTGTAATTGTAGATGACACGTGATTTTCTGTCATAGGATTCAACCCAGCTTTACATTTATTTGTGTAATTAACTCTTACTAGGCTCTTTGAGGGGAAAATTTTATTTGAAATTTGAAAGCCAGTTATATTGGAATTCATTTAACAGAATATTCGGATAACAATATTTGTGACATAGTTATACATCTGGTCTTTCAGTGTTCTGTGTGTGTGTGTGGTCTGACGATTGAATGCTGGGCTCATCCCTTTTCATTTTTGAGATAGAGTCTTGCTAAATTGCTGGGGCTTGGCTCCAATTTGTGATCCTCCTGCCTCAGCTTTCTAGAGTGCTGAGATTGCAGGTATGTGCTGCTTCAGTCAGCAAAAATTGAATTTTTATGACTTTTCTCAATTCTACTTAAGGACCATAGATTAAGAACTCTGTTTATGGTGATAAGACTAGAGGTATGAAGATCAAATAAGAAATTACTACATTTGGAGATAATGAAAAATCTTGATGGAAGTTATCATTACTTAACTTTCCTTTGATTTTACAGGTTTTTGATTGGTCAGGGAGCACATGTAGGAGCTGTCAACAGTGAAGGAGACACACCTTTAGATATTGCAGAGGAGGAGGCAATGGAAGAGCTACTTCAAAATGAAGTTAACCGGCAAGGTAATAGACAAAGAAACCTAAATGGGAAAAATAGTAAAATCTGCTTTAGAAAAAAATGTAATACTTGACTTTCCCTATAAAAGATTTGTTAACATTGAAATATAGTAATTTGGATGAAAAAAATTATCAATTTACCAAATAATATGCACAGTGATTGTTTAAAAAAATGATTCTCAACTCTGTATCTTTAATATTTTTAAAACATGAAGAAAGTATCATAAGCAGCAAATTTGGACTTAAAATTATGTGAAAATAAATGCTGTAGAACAAAATAAATCAGGCAAAAGAGAAAGTGCACAGGGTGGTCATGACAAAGTACAAATTTAAATACAGTGGTTACAAAGGCCTCCCTGATAAGCCAGCATTGAGACTGAGATCTGAATAAGACCATGAGTCCTATCAATTTGTGGGAAGAGCATTTCACAAAAAGGAAGCAACAAGGATGAAAGGGTGCACAGTATATTTTAGAGAAGCTGCAAGTAGGCAAGGATGACTAGAATAGGCAGAGCAAAGGAAGACCCTGATAAGAGATGAGGAGGACACAGAAATAGCATAAGACTGTTATCATATAAAGCCTTGTGAGCCATTTGGGAGGACTCGGCTTTTGATTTGAGTGAAGTGGGAAGCCATTGGAAGTCCAAACAGTCACTGAACTGGTAGGTTGTTAAATGAGGAATATCTGTACATGTCAAATCCTTAGATATGCTGTAAGCATGAAGATGTTAACGATTATTACTGATTCTAAAACACTAATTCTGCTTCTCTTCTCCTGAGTTGTGGGATAGATACTATCGTCACTCCCATTCTACAAATGAAGAAACTGAAGCATAGCATAGGTTAAGTGACTTGGTCAAATAGTACATCTAATAAAGTGGTTCAAACCTTACCAGTCTGTGCTCATTATCCAGTTTTTAACTTGTCATCCAAAAAAGTTGGAGCTTTCTCAACATCACTAATTGAACAAAGCACTGAAATTAGAAAACAAGTCTCCTAATATATAGTACTGTAAGGTTGAAGAGAGTGTTTATATTTTTTGGATTTTTGATGGATTATAGAAGGTCTGTATATTCCAGTCAGTTGTATTTTTTTTTAATTAAGAATAAGAAAAGGATTTTTCTTTTCTAACTTTTCTTAAATTTATGTTTCCCTTCAGATATACTTTAAATTTGAATCTTTCGTTTTTATATATAAATCAGATACATTGTAAGCATCATTTGGAAATGGAAGGGAGTAGTGCTTTGTAATTAGCTAAAGGTAGCATAAAATTAGAGAAGTGAGAAATAGGTTTGTTTTTAAGTTTCAAGTTCAGAGGAAACAACAAAAGTAAGAGTACAGTGTTTAAGATGGTGAAGGCAGTAGAAATAAAATTCTATGATACATGTGTTTTTTGTTGTGTTTTTATTTTTGTTTTTGCAGTGCTGGGGATTGGGTTGATTCTAGGACCTTTACACTGAGCTACATCCTCAGCCTTGTTAAATTAATTTTATTAGTACATTTAAGGTATACAGTATAATGACATTCATCATTGGAAATTTACACCTTTACATAATCCATCTTGGTTCTTATTTTTTCCCCTTTCCCCTGCCCTCCCTTCAACCCCTCCACCCCTCCCCATCTCATCTACAAAGACTTTGTTTCCATTTTTTCTTTTTCTCGTATTAATTCCATTCCCTTCTTCTTTTCGCCTACCCCTTCCCCTTTGCCCCTTTTCTTCCTATTTCACATTATCTATTATACCTTTTCGTCCTTATTTACACTTTCTTTTTCACACCAGAGAAACTATTCGGTATTTACACATATGTGTCCTATTTATTTCACTTAAGAGTATTGCCTCAATGTGTATCCGTTTAGTTATAAATGCTTCTAGTTTCTCATTCTTTATGGCTAAGTAGTACTCCATTTTATTTAAAAAAAAACACATTGTTTTCTCCTGTTGATGAGCAATTGCTGGAGGAAAGATAGCTTCTCAAATAAATGGTGCTGCAAAAGCTGGATTTCAATTTGCCAAAGATTAAAACTAGACCCCTATCTTTGTGGGGGGTAATGGGGATCTAACTTGGGTCCTTCCGCTTATGAGGCTGGCGGCGACACCACTGAGCTAAATCCCAAGCCCTAGACCCCTATCTTTCACCATGCACTAAACTAAAATCAAATTGGATTAAAGATCTAAATATTAAACCAGAAAAACTAAACTACCTGGAAGAGAGGTTAGGTAGAACTCTTGAAGACATTGGTGTAGAAAAAAATTTTATGAACAAAACCTCAGCTGCCCATGAAAACAAATAATCAGCAAGTGGGATCTCTTCTTATTAAAAAGTTTTTGGGGCCAGGGATTTAGCTCAGTGGTTCTGCCACCTGCCTGGCAAGCAAAAGGTCCCAAGTTCAGTCCTTGATAACAAAAAAAAAAAAAAAAAAAAAAAAAAAAAACAGCAAACAATAGTGTGAAGAGACAATTTTCACCAGCTCTTCCTCAGACAAAGATCTACTATCTAGAAGGACTTAAAAAAATCAGACCTCCCAAATTTAAAGACCCAATCCAAAAATGGTTGTCTGAAATGAACGAACAGATATTTCTCAAAGAAGTAGAAATGGTAAATAAAAATGAAAGAATGTTCAACATCACTGGTTATTTGAGAGATGTAGATGAAAACAACACTCAGATTCCACCTCACCCCAGCAAGAATGACTGCTATCATGAAATCAACCAATAATATGCTAGCAGGGCTGTGGGGAAGGAGGAACCCTGCTCCACTGCCGGTGGGAGTGTAAACTGGTACAACCACTCTGGAAATCAGTATGGAGAGACCTCAAAGAACTAGGATTAGAAGTCCCATTTGACCCAGGGATTCCTCTGCTGGGTATCTTCCCCAAAGAATTAAAAGAATCATACCACAGTGATACATGTGCACTCATAGCAGCACAATTCGTGATAGCTTAGCCTCCTCCCTCGGCCTTTCAACTTCCTGGTATTACAGATGTGTCACCATGCCCAGCAGGAGGTACATGTTTTAAAGACACAGTAAAAGAATAAAGTATAAGAATGAATTGAAAGGGGCCGGGGATTTAGCTCAGTGGTTCTGCTGCCTGCATCGCAAGTGCAAGGTTCCGAGTTTGATCTCTAGTACCAAAAAAAAAAATTGAATGAGTAGAAGGTATCTTAAAGTATGCTGATTATCTTTTGATAGTATATTTTTCTTATGTAATATTGCTGTCTTTTGGAAGTGGTGGCATATTATTTATGTTTGGTTTTGTTTGAGGTAGGGTCTCACTAGGCAGTCCTGGATGGTCTTGAACTTGCTTTGAAGCCAAGGCTGGCCTCAGACTTGTGATCCTCCTGCCTCAGCCTCCTGAGTATTGGGATTAGAGATGTGTACCACCACACCCAGAACATTTTATTTTTCTAAAAAGTGTAATACCTTGAGTTCATTACCTATGTATAGTATATAGAATGGATTGTATATGTAGTCCGGAAAATGCTATTACGAGTTTCTTTCAGATGCAGTAATGAGCTATCTATAATTTGAAGATGACTTTTCCTATACTTGTATAATCTTGAAGTTTTAAAATGTTTTTGAATTATTGTATAAAAAATGATAATATGCTAAGCAAGGTAAGTAAGGATAGAGGATAATATAGTAGTTCTTGGAAGTTAGGAACGAGAATGCCGTCAATTTTTTTGTTCTTCCCACTTTTATCACCTTAGCCTAGCAGTGTTTATAAATGAATAGACATCTATATAACTTGTTAATATTACATGAAAAATCATAATGGTTTGAAGAATGTACTGTGCTGGGAAAAGGAAAGGAGTTTGAAGAGAAATAGGAGGAAGTGTAGGTCTGATAAATTTTAGGCAAAATCAAGTCTTCCAAGTTTTAAGTGTTCAGTAAACATTTATATTTACATATATGTTGAGCAGTTCAGAAAACTGGTTAAAACAGAAGATACCAATTTGAAAATTACTCATACATAATTGTTTTAAAGAAGCCCTCCCCTCAAGGATGCAGTCTTAGTCACCTTTCTTGTCACTGTGACAAAATACCCAATGCTCATAACTTAAAGGAGAGGTTTGTTTTGGCTCTCAGTTACAGTCTGTGGTCAGCTGGCTGCCAGATGAGATGTTACCTTTCTAGGTCATGCCCCTAGTGACCCACCTCTTCTGAACAGACCCCATCTCCCAACACGGCCACTGAACTCGCCAGTGAATGAATCCATTGATACATACAGTGCTCCTAAGATCCAGCCACTTTCCAAAAGCCCTTCCTCAGAGTGTGAGGGTTTTGTGGGTCATGCGTGGTCTGAACCATAACAGATTGTTGTATCTTAGAAAATGTTCAAATTTATAAAAACAAAAGAAATAATATGAAAAAGCAGAAAGAGAACCAAAATAGTATTGTGAAAGAGAAGCTAATACATAGAGAAAGCTAATAAACTATAGTGTTCCCACATTCGTTTATTTAACCAATATGGATGGTATAAACTGCTTGTTTTTGAAAAAAATATGCCTTCACTTTTAGTTTTAATTTAAATTTGACATATTCTGTAAATTTTATTCCTCAGCATAGAAATGGAACATGTTCTATTAGGAAAAAATATAATCATTTTTATTTTATCAGGGGTTGATATAGAAGCAGCTCGAAAGGAAGAAGAACGGATAATGCTTAGAGATGCAAGGCAGTGGTTGAATAGTGGCCATATAAACGATGTGCGGCATGCGAAATCTGGAGGTACAGCACTTCATGTTGCAGCCGCTAAAGGCTATACAGAAGTTTTAAAGTAAGTATTGCTTGTTATAGAAATGTGTTATACTTTGTCTTGTTTTCTTTATTTCATTATAACTTTTCTAATTCTGCAAACATTATTTTGAAACAGCTTATTGTGGAGTTACTTAGTGACTGTTTTCAGCAAGAACTACCTTGAATATGATGGCTTTTTATTTTTGAAGTTCTTTCACTCAAATTTTGACTATTCTACTCTGTTCTTTTCCCAGTTGCAGTTTTCTCATAAGCTGAATCTAAATGTCACTCAACCATTATGTTACCTTCTGCACAAATTATTACAGTCATTTTGAGGTTCCCAAATTGACTAACTGGCTTCTGAGACTAAGAACAACATTACATAAACATATCAAATTGAGAGCTTACTTTCTGTTGAATACTTATTTTCATGTAATTTATCTAAAATACAGTTTTTTTTACTACAGGAGCACTAGAACTTAAAGTGCTAATGCATAATGTTAAAAATAAAATGTCCAGCCATCAGCAGTATGACTATATGGAGCTATATATTGGTCACCTATTTGCCTTGGGACCAAGTTTCTTTATATCACAGTGTGAATGGGAGAGAGAGAGAGAGAGAGAGAGAGAGAGAGAGAGAGAGAGAGAGAGAGAGAGAGTGAGAGTGAGTGTGTGTGTGGTCACATGCTCATTTTACTTACACAGTGCCAAAGGCTTGCCAACTATATTAAAAAATGTATTCAGTGCATAACTTTTTTATACAGATTCGAAAGTAGGAAGGCCAGCCCTTAGCACAATCTGTACTCTTTATATATCACTTGTAAAACATTTGCATTTTTGCTATCAGTGTCTTCCTTATTCCCTCTTATTAATAAAAACAGTAAGATGGAACACCTGTTCTCAAGTTTCTTTCTTTTCAGTCTTTACTCATTCAATAACATAGGCCTTCTCTTAGAAGAGAATGTTGCTTCTTAACCAGTTTTCTTTTCCCCTGTCTTTCTTTCTAATCTAAAATCACAAATTCTTATTAGCAAGTCATGAAACGAGCAGGGTGAGTTATTAACAGCAATTTTTAAAAGCCGGATATTGCATATAGTAGTGGTAAGGATTGTTTCTTAAAACTCTTGTTTCTGTAAACATGTGAATGGATATAGATTGCATTGTGCAATGAATTTCTATACTGCTTCCAAATGAGATTTGTAATTAGGTTATCAAAGGTCTTAAAATCCTTAAAGGGGGTAGGAATCAGGATAAATGTTAAACTTCTTAGCTTAGCACATAAGACCTTTTATCATCTAGCCATTATGTGTTCTTTTAAGCTGAACTGCCACTGTTTCACTTCAGGCATGCATTATTTTAGCCACATATATCTACTTGAAGTTCTCTCATGTTATCTTAATACTATTCCTCCTCTTGTTTCTGTCTCAATGTCTTATTGTCATCTCTTTAACTTGGAGGCAAATTTTGTTTGATCCTATCACAAAGTTCAAGTGTGTTAAAAAAAATTTACAAATATAGCTATAGTAAGTTGCTATTTTTAAATCATATTGTATACAGCAAACATTTGGCCTACTGTATTGGCAAAATGTGGGGGGAAAGGAACTCTAACAATATTGGTAATATAAACAGAATATTGGAAATTAAGTGAAAATTGAGTAAATTCTGTCGAAGTAGTAGTTGTTCTTCAGCTTGGCAGTTATGCCTCTAGGACTTTTTTCAGATATTCTTACCCATACGGGAAGAAATAAATTTGCTAATAGCATTATTCATAATTGAAGGTTTAATAAAGCACGATAATACATACTTGTCCTCGAATATTCTGCAATAAATAAAGCATGAATAAGAAATCTCCTTTAACATTGTTACAGAAAGAACCTCCTTTGGCATATTATGAAATGTCAAAATGAAGGATATAAATATATACTTTTTTTGTCTTCAAGTTTAAAAACTTTGTACATGAAATCTTTCAATAAGGGCCTACTCAAAATTAATAATAATGATCCACAGAGAGGCAAAACTATTTGACTAATGTTTTGCACTGGGAGACTGAATTTCATTTATATATTTTATGTGTGCATGTGTGCGTGATACTTATATAACTAAACGGAAGGGGTCTCTATCAGTTGTAACCCCCCCCCAAAAAAATGCAGTTCCTTTTTATTTTATTTTGATGATTTTCAGTTCTGTACTTCCATTCCATCTCCATCACGAAACTACCCTTGAAGGTTGATTGTTGTTTTTCTTAACTTTTGTCCTCCGTTAGAAGCTCTTGAAATGTAGGTTCTGTCACTTTTTCTTTGTTTCTCAAAAATGTCCTGGTAGGGTTTGGCATATATGGAGAATCATGTTTGTTGAAAAACAGTAATCTGCTTTCTTAGTTCTCTCTTGCCTCTCCACATAAATTCCCAATTACTACAATTTTATATTGCTTATGATATTTAACGTTATTGTAGTTCACATTGTTAATGAAGTATATTTTTATTGTCTTATATTCCAGTATTTCTGCTTCTATCAATAAAATTCATGACAATATGTACAGTCGTAGCAGTATTTCTTTAATCTCCAGACTTTTCATTTGTTAGCGTTTTCTTTAAATTGTGGCTTTTAAATGAATATTGGTCTGCTGATGGGAGTCATAAGGGAGACTTTATGAAAGCACAGATTAACAGAGCCCCAACTTGCTGATTAATGGTACTGGGTGGAGCTGGAGAACTTTTTTATTTTTCTTCCTAAGCAAGCTCTTCAGATGGTTTGCTTATGTAGTCAGGATTGAAGATAGCTATTTCACATATTGTTAGGAAAGTAGGGTATCACTTCTTAGAAATAAAGAGGGGATTATATATTAGCTAAAACTACCACCTTCTTTAGGTAAAAGGAAGCCCCTTCTCAAGCTTAATTTCTTGGAAAGTAAGGTAAAAGTATAATGGATTTCATGAATTGTAAAGTATTCAGTTTTTACCTGTGTGTGTAGAGCTGTGTCTTGTGCAATTTATGGACCTACTTCTTGCTCTCTTTAAGCATAATTTCTAAATAAAATAAAGGTTAATGGGATTATGCAATTAAAAGGGCATAGTAACATATTTATGCCACTCTGAGCTGTATTAAAATTTATTACTGTTAGCTAACTTGCTGGTGATTGGAATCTGCTTTTTATTCCTGCAGAAAAATAAACTCAATCCATTAGAATATGAGTTTTACTTTGTTTGCTCCTAAGAGTCAGAGTCTCACTTTTCTTTGAAAATTTCTCACAGAAGATCATAAACCATCTCTTCAAGTACAAGGCAACAAAACATTACAATATAAGCTTCTTTGATTCAAGTATATTTTTTAGAACATTTTTAGCCTTCAATAATATATCATATGGATGCCTAAAGATAGTTCCTGAGCTATATCAATTTTATATACAATTTGATCCATCATTTTTTTTATTTTACACTGAAAAATTATGATGGGCTTTTCTCTGAATATTTTACTTACAAGTGATACTAATAAGAATTAAGCAGTGTTAACCCAAACTGTATATGGTAGTCAGTGGAAATAAATTAAAATTGCATTGCTGTGACAGTGACTCAAGATCCTCTTCTTGCATTTTCCAGAAAATTGCTTTCTACTTGCCCTACTTAATTCACTAAGGGAAAGGAAAACTCTGAAAACAACTATTTTGCAAATTTTAAGTAAATTGCATGGTAGAAATCAGTCGTGTTTGTTAATTTCTAGACTTTAATGATTATCTAATTCGCTCTGATTTCTTCAGACTTTTGATACAGGCAGGCTATGATGTTAATATTAAAGATTATGATGGCTGGACACCTCTTCATGCTGCAGCTCATTGGGGTAAAGAAGAAGCGTGCCGAATTTTAGTGGACAATCTGTGTGATATGGAGATGGTCAACAAAGTGGTAGGCCTTTTAAAATGTATTTAAAATATAGAAATAAAATTTTAGTTTCAGAAGGTTATAAGAATATAAATTAAGTAATTATATTTTCATTAGCCATATAAAACATTTTGTCCATCAATTGATTTATTAAGTAATAGTTGAAGTCCTTTCATTTCCCAAATGGAATGGTTCTGGACTTGTTCTGCAAGAAAGAAGTATTCTTTCAGTAATCATATATGTATAGAAAACATTTGAATATTGCATTATTACTGTAGGGATACTTAGTGATTCATATATTTAAGAAAATTTGCATTACTATATAAATATTTTTTGTCTCACTATGAGTTGGAACACTTATAGAAGGATGTTTCAAATTGTCTTTAGCTGATAGTCATATTAGTGTCCTTATAATGACTAAGTGACATTGATAGCAAACTCTGCCAACAGTAGTAAGCTCAAAACATGTTCTCTAGTGAGTTTAATTACCCATTAACTTCCATGGAATGTTTTTTGTTTTGTTTTTTTTTGTTTTCTTCTTCTTTGGTACTGGGGATTGAACTCTGGTCCTTTCGCTACAGGGCAGGCAGTGGTACCCCTGAACTAAATCCCCGGCCGTGGAATGTTTTAATACATTGATTTTCATAGGGTAATACAGTAAATTACTTAGCAGAGATTCATAAAATAATCTTATCTTTATTTAAAACAGGGCCATTTAATTCTGTTGTATACATTAACAACTGCAGTTTCTAATAGGGACACACAAAATAAAGAGAACGATGGCGTACTATATGCCTTAAATTTTAATTAATTGAAATTCCTTTCCAGAAACATGTTGTTTCCTTGACTGAACTAGAAATATAGTAAGATACGCATAATATATAGTATATATGAGAAAAATATGCTTAGGTACAGTTTATCATAACTATGTACTGGAAGAGTACATATAAAATTATTTTACTTTGTAATCGGTCTTTTTGTATCAGGTTTGAACTACATCCACAGCCTTTTTCTTTTTCTTTTTTATTTTGAGACAAGGTCTCACTGAGTTGCGCATGCTGAGCTCAAACCTATGAACCTCCTGCCTCTGCTTCTCGGAGTGCTGGGATTGCAGGCATGAACCACCACCCTCCAATTTGATTGCACCCTAAATTTTAGTGTGTTACCTCTTTATTTCATCATTTCAGTTGAACTTTATACAATATTGAATAATTGTGCTTCATTATTCCTTTGCAATACTCGGCCTTTATTTTCACGTATAGTATGTAATGTTATCCTTTCAGCAGTGCTATGAAGTTTTAAAGTATTTTTTTTATTCAGGAAAACAGAAGTTTAGTAATTTTCCTGAAAGCCTTGAAAATAGAGTGATTCTTAAAAAAAAAATCTGCTAAGTTCCTCTGCTTTTGGCTTTGTTTTTTCATATTTTCCTTTTTAAAATGCTTATTTTTATTAAAATATGACTTTAAATTTATATAAAATATTTTTCTTTTAAAACACTTTAATTATGAGGGGCTACACAGTAGATAGCATTCTAAAAGCCTTTATTCCTTAAATGTATCCAAATAAAAGCCTTTATCTTTTTTCCCTAGGAACTTGTATGGTAATGGAAGAATTTTTTAGTTTCTCCTAATTACTACTGTTTTTTTTCTTTTTTTGGTACTGGGACTTGAACTCAGGACCTTGCACTTGCCAGTCAGGCACAGCACCACTGAGCTAAATTCCTGGACCTTAATTATTAAAATTTTAACAAATAAATTTACCTTTGTGTCTTCTGTTTTCACTGGCTACATTATAAAGTAATGTTTAAATAGAACAAATCACTTTGTCTTAAGTTGTAGGTGTGACTATATGGATTTATCTTCTTTTATACCTTCAATAGTATTCATAGATGAAAATTTTTTACTCAGTTTCTTTTTAAAATATCAAAGAAATAAAGGTGTTAAACAGACCTTAGAGGAGTTCATTAGTAATAGGAGACATGATTTGAGAAAATAGTGTAAAAAATACAATAAATTCTATAGAAAATCTGAAATTCTTTCTACATGCAAATAGAGAAAATATTCTGAAAATAGACACTTTGATCTTATTTATTTGACTTATTTCCAAACTATAAAAACACATTTTCTATCATTTTAACTATTATAACTTGTGTGGTACTGATTTTAGAGATAAAGACCCTTTTTTTGCTTCCTTAACTTAATTACTAAAGCCATTGTTTTACTATAATGCATCTAAGTATTCTTCCTTCTTAAATATTAACTAGGCTGCTTTTTTAGTTGGAATTTCTTCTAATGTATTAATACAATGACTAGCAGACAAGTTTTTATCTTATAACTCATAAAGATTTAAATGAATAACAAAGCTGTTCTAACAGCAGGCAAAAATATATTTTGTTTTTTACTCTCTGTCTTTGTGAACTTGAATTAACTTGATATAAAGACAAAATGAGATACTAAAATAGTAGCAACTTCCCCTCATTACTTTCATGACTTGGGCAAATACCCAGCACTCAGAGGTTGAGTTTCTTTATCTGTACAGTGAGAATCATAATAATCCACATCTCAACTACTTTACTGGTAGTTGTGAGGATGAAGAAAGAGCATATCTGCAAAAATAATCCATCTACAATAAGTGAGTAAAGAGATTACAAAGTTAGACTTAAACAGTGGCTGTAGTATGTCTGTAGCCCTAGTAACTTGTAGGTGTATTGAGCTGATTTTTTTTTAAGCAACCTGTTTTGTTTGACTTTCTCATTTAAGATAATTCTCTTGGAGATAGAGTTATTTTCTTACACTTCAACATTGTGTCCTCATTTGTTTCCTGATTGCCTTGGGTATACTTCACAGTATTCGTACTCCAGTGAAGTGTAGTGACCTTATAGCTAAGGATTAAGTAATGTTCATCATTTCACAATTGTCTGCTTCATAACTGTAGTTTAGATTATTTAAAGGGCATTATTAAGTTATTAAAGTAATGAGTATGCTTTTTCAAAATTAGAAATTTTTCTGTTTATAGCCCTCATTTTACTCTAGTTTTTATTCTCTGTCCTGCTGTTTGCAAAGTAGACTCATTCATGAAGAGAAGAAGTGAAAAGAGGTTAATCTGGCAGCCTGATTTATTATTTTTCTTTTTAGAAAAGTAATCATTTTATATCAATATTCAAAACAAAAATGAATATTTAGGGAAACAGATTTATAATTTGGTGATGCTAATACCATACTTATTCCTATCAGCTATCTGTAAATAGTATACATTTACCTTAAGGGATAGTTGGGATATTGGAGTTGGCACTGAATGGATAAAATACAAGATGCATTCCAAAGTTTGAAGCTGAGTCTATGCCCTTATCTTTACTAGAGATAGTTTCCTCACTGTGTATATAGGATATCAAAGTTTGAGGCTGAAAATTTGAGGCTTTCCACTGGGAACTGAGGAAATGTACAGTATTATTAAAACAAACGCATTGATTGCATTTAACTGCTACAGAAATTTAATTACAGTTGAAAATGTTTTTCAAGATTGGTCTTTCATTCTTAAGGATTGAGAAACATGTAAAATAATACTTAAAAGGAAGTCAATAAAGCCAGGGATGGTGGTACATGCCTATAAACCTAGCAGTCTGAAGCAGGAAGTTTGCAAGTTCAAGCCCAACCAAGACCTAAAAGGCTTGAGATAGCTTGGTGCAAAGTCCAGGGCGGAGAGAGTTGGGGGAGAGAGAGAGAGGGAGAGTGAGGGGGAGAGGGGGGAGGGAAAAGAAGGATCAGTGAGTTATTTCATGTAATGTGATCTTGATTACAGTTTACGAGTATACCATCTATAACATTTCAGAGCTACTTACAAAAAGATTGTCCTATAGCAGAACCGAAATTAACATATTGCTAGTTTAAAAGGCATCTTAAATCTCTGAGCCATTTATTTCATAGCAATTTTTATAAGGAATTTAATTGTTTTCAAGGCTGAATGGGGAGAATTTATTAAATTTAAAGCTTTTCATCTTGATTTGGGTGGGGAAGGATAGACTGCCTCTTAATTCCTGCTGGAAAGTTTTTCTGGCAAGGAAAGGTAGCATCATTTTGAAGTTTTGTTTTTTTTTAATAATGAATACAAATTGGCTAATAAATATTCATGTGAACAAATTTTTTAAATTAAGCAATATTTATGCCTGACTGAACATTAAGCAGTTTAGAAATATATATTTTTGGGCCAGGGATTTAGCTTAGTGGTTTCACCATCTGCCTAGCAAGCAAAAGGTCCCAGGTTCGATCTCCAGTACCCAAAAAAAGAAAAAAAAAAATTTATTAGACTACCAAGAATGGAGTTTCAGGAAGGTATCAAAAAGAAGGCCTCAAAAGGTTAAAATTATAGTTACCAAGATGACCCAGTAATTCCACTCCCAGCAGTACAGCCAAGAAATGAAAATAGATGTCCACAAAAAACCTTGTCTATCAGTGTTCACAGCAGCATTATTTCAGTATAAGCAAAAAACAAATATTCATTTGATGATTATATTAACAAAACTTGTATATCAGCATTGGAATCTTATCTGTCAATGAGAAGCAGTGAAGTAGTGAAATATACTTAATGTGGATCAACCTTGAAAACATGCAAAGTGAAAGAAGCCTGTCCAAAAGGAACATATATTACAAGATTCCGCTGATATGCATACGCATAATCTTCCAGTAGAAGCATAATCCACAGAGTAGATCATTGGTTACCTTGGGCTAAGGGTAATGGGAAAAAAAGGGTAAGCAATATTCTGTCTTTTGGGTAGGGTGATGACAATGTTGTAAAATTGATTATGAGACTGGTTGTACAATTTGTGATTATATTTCAAAAGCCTTGAATCATGCTGTAAGTTGGTGATATGTTGTATATGAATTACATCTTAAACTTTTAACAAAAAATACATAAGGCACTATTACAGCAATTTCTTACATGTTTTTTTATACAGGTTTGAGTTATGTGTATTATGTCATTTAACAATCAAAAACAATATTACTAACTTCTTTGTACTAGTTACAGAGAATTACTGAAGGCATTTTGTATTACTGTTAACATTTTGTATTTGTATTACTATTATTATTTGTTTTATTATCACATCCCCTCTCGTTTCCTGCCTAGGGCCAAACAGCCTTTGATGTGGCAGATGAAGACATTTTAGGATATTTAGAAGAGTTGCAAAAAAAACAAAATCTGGTATGTTTAATGATTGCCTAAAAGTTGCCTTTAGAAATGAATTCTGATAGCTTTGAATTGCAGTTTAAAAAGTATTCTTGTGATACTTTGTGCTTTTTTTATTTTAATTTATTCCTAGCAGTCACACTACATAACAGTGAAAGAGATGATGGTGATAATCTTTCACATTATTTATCCCTGTTTCTATTTCTTCTCCTTCATAAAACAAATCCTTAAATAATCTGTATATTCTCAACAATAACATGTTCTGGTAATTTCAGGACAAAGTTTATTTCAGAACTGGAGACTGTAATCTCAGAGTTCTAATAGCAAGGCATACATAAGCAAGGAGTTGTGTTACTAGGAAGCTAGACTTATAAGTAAAATGCCACTGTCCATCCTAAGTAATTAGTGCATCTTGTCCATTTTGGGAAATGAACTAAAATTGTAGAGGTCTAAAACTTCAAACTGAGTCATACTTGGAGTTTTAATTGTTTAGTGTTATTTTTTTTTAACTCAAGCCCTTCCCTTTACAGAAAATTTTAAATCTCTTATTTCTTCATTTTGTTTTTGCTTAGCATTTGAAACACTTTATTATTTGAAACTACCTTATTATTTTAAACTCTATTTCACACATACTATTATCTTAATAGTATTTTATTTTTCTTTGCATAATTTTGTATAAAGCTCCATAGTGAAAAACGAGATAAGAAATCTCCATTAATTGAATCAACAGCAAATATGGACAATAACCAGTCACAGAAGACCTTCAAAAAGTAAGTAAAATAGTCCGGGCATGGTAGCGCATGCCTGTAATCCCAGCACTTGGGAGGCTGAGGTAGGAGGATCGGTGTGAGTTCGAGACCAGCCTGAGCTACATAGTGAGTTCCAGGTCAGTCTCAACTACATATTGAGACCCTGTCTCAAAAAAACAAACAAAAAAAGTAAGTAAAATTTAAAAAGCATGTTTAATTTATGAATGCATAATGGCCAAAGAGGCAGTTATTGTGGATCTGAGGAAAAACCAACATATTTTCACCTTTTGTATTTATAATCATTTGAAAGCTGTTTTCCTTTCACAGCAAAGAAACACTGATTATTGAGCCAGAGAAAAATGCATCCCGTATTGAGTCTCTGGAACAAGAAAAGGTTGACGAAGAAGAGGAAGGGAAGAAAGATGAATCCAGCTGTTCCAGTGAAGAAGATGAAGAAGATGACTCAGAATCAGAAGCTGAAACAGGTAGAATTTGAACAATAAGTGAAATTTAACTGAATTTTCTGGCAGTGTAAGATAAAACATGAACAAGTTTAATTTTTAAACTTTTCAGATGGATTTGTTACCTGTTCAGCTACCTGCCAAACCAGTAATTGCCTTTTGGAGAATATTAGAAAATTTATGTATATTTGTGAGTTTATTGTTCTTTAATTAACTAGAGGCCCTTATTCATCCCTGTACATTGTCACTATATTTTAGATTTAAAGAAGGTGCTGAAGCTTTAAGACTCCCTCATGTTGGTACACATAGGGTGTGAATGGGTTCTCAGAAGTTTCAGAAGTGCTCCTGCTGCTTTCTGAGCCCCAAAAGCCCAGAAAGTTTTTTCAGCAGCATCTCAAACTCTCCCTAAGAAATAGTAAAGTGGGGATTAATCACAGTACTTTCTCCTGAGAGTATGAGGGAATTTGCTTTGTTTTGAAAAAAATATGATTGAAAAGTGGAATAAGTATTCATATTTTAGCTATTAAGACATCAGATTTAATAGCTGTTAACATTTAATCATACTTCAACTGTTTATTTTTCAGTTACCCTGGATTCAATCCTCAGTACTGAAAAATGAATGAATGAATTTAAAAAAACAAAACATTACAGTTGCCTTCTTTACCCATCTGCCTTAGTCTGCTCTCCTTTTCCTTCCTTTCTAAAGGCAATCATTATCATGATTTGTTCTGTAATATTCTAGTCCATGTTTCTAATTTTATCTTGTTTGTATACTCATAAGTAATGTGTAGCAAATACACTGTTGGTTTGTGTTTACTCTCATACTCTAGGAATTTTGTTCATTTTTTTAGGTATGTCCACAAATCCATAGCTTTATCTACATACTGATCACATTAACTGTTGCATAGCATTCCAAAAAACATAACCCATTTCCTTTCTGATTAACATTTACAATATCCTCAGTTTTTTGTTTTAAATAATATATCAGTCATGCTTCCTTGTGTAATCTGTAAGGGATTCTCTAATGGACTTAGAAATTTAGTCCATTAGTCCTAGGCTGCACAAGTTTTCAGTTTTCATAAATTGTTTTATAATACTATTATAATAATTTATTCATTTCCTTTTTACTACTAAGAATATGGTTTCCCTATATTTTTCTTCTGGCCTACACATTTTTATAGCTTTTGTTTACCACAAAGTTTTTGTTAAGTAACTTTTAACTTTCTGTATCAGTTAATCACTCGAAACTTGTAAGTAGCATGAGATACCAATATTGTCATGTTCTAACATAGAGCTGGCCACTTTAATATATGTGTTATTCAGAAGAAAATACTCCCCTTTCTGTTAACACTTTTTGTCAGTGAAAAAAACCTGTCTTCTCAGGACCAGTTTGGTGGTCATTGGTAAACACAAATGGAGCTATACAATTGATGGAATCCCTATATTTCCTTTCGATACAATAAAACTTTCAGATTGTTTTATTTCTATTCACCAAAATATTTCCTCTAAGAAAATGTGAGCAGCTATGGTATTCTAAATATAACACATAGAAAAGAAAATATCAATAATTGTTTTTAAAATAAGATGCAGATATAGGCTACCTCTGTTACTGAGGTTATGTATTTTGGATTTTTTATTTTCTGAAAGCATGCTAAGCCATTAAGTAAATTAGTTTTCTGTAACACATGAAGAATTTATCAAATATATAAATGGCTAGATTATTCTAGTTACTTAGAGATTTAAATTTTTCCTCATTGGTGTTAACATTCATTGAGTCTGCAAATCAGTGTATCTTTTGCCTTGGTAAGATAATCATGTGGGGAAAATTGGAAGATAGATAATTTCTAGTTTGAATATTATAAATGTACCTGTATAACAGGTTAATTAAGATATTTCTAATTATAAAAAGCAAATTAAATGAGAATCAGCATGCATAGTATTTAAGAGTATATACTGGTTCATGCAAATAATTATATATTCAGATAATCCTTATATTTCTTATCTGTGAAATTGGGGTAATAATTTATTATTATACTAGCCTAATATTAACTTCATTTAAATTTATACTGTTATTTTATTCATTTTATGAAAACTAAAGTCAAATGATGTCACTGATACTTAAATAGACTTGTGTACGTTTGCAAGTATTTAGAAGTTATTTTTATGTATTTAATCTCTTCTCTGCCAGACATAACTTAGCTCCCACTCTGTAGTGAAGTACTTTATATGGTTAAAAACCTACATGTACATCAGCCCATATAAACATGTCTCCAAGAGTCGGGTCCAGCACTGAGGTCTCCTAACTCTTGAATTAAGTCTAATTATGTGGTAAAATTCAAGAACAGGAAGTGCCGGCATTTCTTTCAGAGATTTCTCATTCTTGTTAATATTTTCTTATTAGGCCCTTTTATTTAATGTTCAGTATCATTCAGTGTTAGGTACTGAGGGGCCATTTAAAACAAACAAAAGACTAATCTTAAGCTAGTTACCTAACTAGTAAATGTCCTGGCATTTTGTAGTTGAAATATTCTTGTGAGGCAGAGGGCAGAACCACTGAGCTAAATCCCTAGTCTAGTTGAAATATTCTTAATAATTCTAAAATGAGAAGAATTGGATTAGATGATCTGGATACTCTTTAAACTTTTTATTCTATAACAAATAATACTTTTCCATAAATAATCTGAAATTGCATTATATTAGTTCTTGTTTGGAATTTAAGCACAGCATTCACCCTCTGCCCAACATCTCATTAAGCTAACTTTAAACACTCATCTAAGCATTATAATATAATTTGATTCTTCTTGTTCCTGGTTGTGGGTTGTGCCAGAAAAATTTGTCTCTATCTCAAGTATTAACCCATTTAAATGCTGTATGGTTTCTTCTCTCTCACACTTTTAATGTCAACCAAGGTTTATCATAGTTTATTTGGCAGGCTTGAAAAAGCAGCCCTTTCTCTGTAGACCTAAAGCTTGATTTGACAATTTCTAAATAGTTTGCTTTTTATACTTTTTATAAAGTTACTTCGTTGGGAAACTGTTTGACATAAAATAACTATTTTGCTGAATTTTCTTTTGTAAGTTATTTACCAAGCCAGTTTTCCTTCAGTGTTCTTTCTCTTCTCATAAACCAAATGAAAATAGGAGCCCAATTAAAAGTTTTAATTGTCTTCCAAATAATTTATAAATTTGAGGAGGTTTTCATCCTGCATTAAAATCAAATAGAGGGGCTTCAACAATATTAATGATGTTTACTCACTAAGCTAGATGGTGGTGCATGTAGTTTTTCTTATTTAATATTTCTTTATCTAGACTGTAAGTTCCATCTAGTTAAGACATTTTCATTGGCCGATATATGTCCAGTGTTTAGGACAGTACTTGAGATGCAGAGACATAGAATATTTGTTGAATGGCATTCTTCAATTACATGGAGTATTTTCTATGAAGATGATATTGTGCCCATTTAACTTTAGATCTTTTAAGAGCAAAAAGGCATATTCTTTGAGACATTTAGCCATATTGTTTTACATGAATATAAGCTGATTATTGACAAAAGCACTTTTAGGTTTCCTGAAATAAAGAGCAGTCAATTTTAGGTCATCAGTAATAGTTGTTCATTCATTAGAAAATTATATAGTGGTTATAACTTTTTTAGTTATATTGCTTTTACAAATTCAAATTTTTAAATTTTAATTAAAATTTTCCTAGCCTTAAAAATGCAGAAGTCCAGTTCAAATTGCACTTTTTATCCTCAGAGCTTTGTTATATTTCTTTCATATTATCTTTACTATTTTTTTACTTACTTCAGCATACATGTGGAAATGTTTCTAGAAACTACTTTAAAAACTGATTAGTGCAAAAGAATAAACAGTAAAAGGAAAAGACAGTTATTAAAGCTAAATTCCTATAGAACCTTGACTCTTAATTTTTTTTTAATAGATAAGACAAAACCCATAGCTTCTGTAACAAATGCCAACACTTCTAGTACACAAGCAGCTCCCATAGCTGTAACAACACCTACTCTGTCATCCAGTCAGGCAACGCCCACATCACCTATTAAAAAGGTAAGCCAAAATTGTGTTTGCTAAAAATATATTTACTCTATTTTAAGTATCATTTGAACTAACTTGTTAAAACAGTTCTGAATATTTAGTTTTTTTTTCAAAAATGTATTTATTCTGCTTTTCTGTTTTTAGTTTGGCATTTCCTCTGAACCATGCTATAGTCAGTCTTTTTTATTTTTTGAAAATTATACTTGATATTATATTTGATAGTTAAAAATATTAAATTGTTGAAATAAATGTCTGTAAGATAAAATTTTTGATGACATTTAAACCAGTGATCATGGTAGTTTTTACTTCTGCTGAACATTTATTTTGAGAAATTCAAGTTTTATATCCTTTATCACTGTTAAGTAGAGGTGTATATTGATAATTTCACATGTAAGTAAGACATAAAAAATGTTACTACAGTTTAATGAGAACTAGAATCTGGATTTTCTAAATCATCATACACAGTAGTGGGCATGCAATTTTAGTATGCCAGCAAGAGCAAACCACACATCAATTCTGATCCCACCTTTTATTAGTTGTTAAGACTCCAAGCAACTTATCTTCCTTATCTGTCACAAAGCAAACATATCTATTTTAAAAGTTGGTTGAGATGCTGGCCAGTCATTAAGTGGTTCCCAAAATGTTAGTTTCATATTTCTTCCTTTTTCCCCCCTTTTTCTCTGCCTCTGTTCTCTACCAAAGCAGTGTTTTCCATCTATTATGTAGCTCTTAAAAACATCGCTTTTCCTTGCTACTCTGGATCCAGCACTTCTTTTAATCTGAATTAAATGTTAAGAGTTTCGTGGGTTTTTAACCTAGTAGTTTCCTTATAAAGTTTCTTCTCACCAGACCTTACTTATCGTTGATGAACATCCTCATCCCTCTCTTACACACTTTTTTCCCAAAACATTTAAGAATTGAGTATAGTCATCATAAAACTTCTTCCTTAACTCTGTGGTATATATCTCCTACATACAAAGCATTATCCTTTATTCCCACAAAAAATGATAAATAATTCAGAAATTTAATACAGTTCAGTAGTGTTATCTGTGTTAACTAATACTTAGAGTCAGATTTTTCCAAATGTGCTTCTTCTGTGATTCAAATTAAGGGCCCACTCAGAGACTACACTTTGTTTTTGGTTGTCATGTCTGTGCCTTTAGACTTACTTTGTTTCTTGTCTGGCAGCATTTGGGTTGTATGAAGTTAAGAACTGATGTTTAGATCCCCATTCTATTTCTCAGTCTTCCTCAAGGTGATAAAAATGTAGATCTTTTAAAAATAATAAAATAGGAAATGATTTTAAAATTTATTATGTTAGTAATAACAGTCATCTAAAACTCTTCCCAAAGAGAGTAGAAATGTGTGAATTTCACTGGTACATAGTTCAAATGTCACGAAATGGTCATGAATGAATTATTTTCCCTTCTGTGTTCCAGAACTGAAGATATCTTGAATTCAGTTAGAACCCATTTTCATATGATCATAATTACATATACTTTAAGATGAAATTCTCTAATAGTAGTTTCTCTGCAAAATTTTGAAAACTGTTATACTATAGCGTGCTTAGTTGAACTGAACTAAAGTAGACCAAGTTGAAGTAAGTAAAATTTGGTTCTAGGACAGCCACATACGACTTTATTGAATACTAAATTTGTGTTTGCATCTTTGATTTCTTGTTTGTTAGGACCATAAAATTATTACAAGCTTCCAGAAGTTCTAACACTGGTATAACTGGGCAAGAAACTAGCTGTTTTGGGGGGTTTACTTGGCAAAACAATATCTTTCCTACATGGTCAAATAGTTACAAAAGACTTCTTGTGTCCAGGTTTCTGTTTTTCAAGCATAGCTGCAGATTTATGTCAGTTTACTTCTACATTTATACCTAGTGTCCTAACTGAAAGAAATACTTCATACCTATATTAGTTTAGTGGAGCAATAGTATCTTAAATTCTTATTCAAAATTACTTTTTTTTTTTTTCTTTTTTATACCAGAGATTGAACTTGGGTCCTTGCGCTTGCGAGGCAGGCAGTGGAACCACTGTCAAATCACTTTTGATTGATTTTGTAATTAAACTGGAGTATGAGAAACATCCGCTTCTATAATTTGCATATTTAGCAACTACACTTTATTCTCAATTTCAAGTATTATAATTTAGATTACATAGTTTCAGTATTTGTGTGTCAGGTTTTGTATCTGAATTTTACTCAAAGCTGTAAAGTCATTATATACTAAAAATTTGTATTATTTATAATGTTTGGGAGTCTTACCAGTATATGACTTTTAAAATTTGTTCTTATATCAACTGCTACTTACCTACATTCTTTTAACTTTTAATTTAGCATTTTAATATTTTAAGTTTAATCAAGATTGTGCCTGTAGGGCCAGGATTTAGCTCAGAGATTCTGTTACCTGCCTCATAAGTGCAAGGACCCAAGTTTGATCCCCAGTATGAAAAAAAAAATTTTTCCTGTAACTTTAGAGAATAACAGATACAGATTTCCTTATAAATTGTTGTTAATTTGTAAATGCATCATAAATGATTTTCCAATTATAAAGTTCTAGTTTTAGGTTTCCAGTCAGTACTTTGCTTTTAATATTTGTGCAGTTAAGTTATTCAAGTTCCTCCACAGGTCCACAAATGCATAAACTAGCTACAGTGGTATCTTGGTTCACAAATCTAATTTGTCCTGGGATTCTGGAAAAGATGGCCACGTTTGGGTTTGTGTGGGAAAGATGACTGTGGTCATGTTTGTTACCCTATGCAGAGTATGCAAACAAAAGCATTCAAGAACTGCAGTACCACAGTGTGTGTGTGTGTGTGTGTGTGTGTGTGTGTGTGTGTGTGTGTGTGTGTTTGCTCATGGAAATGAGATCATTAAAAGGAAGCACAGACCTGAGTTCTATCCCAGTACCAAAAAAAAAGGAATGACAGAAAACACTTACATTAAATTTCATTTACTTTCTATTAATAACACAAAGTAACTACAGCAAAAAAACAGATTAATTCATTTAAAATGATCTTAAGTTCCTAAGTTTTGAAGTAAAAATACTTTAAACAGAAAACACTTACATTAAATTTCATTTACTTTCTATTAATAACACAAAGTAACTGCAGCAAAAAAAACAGATTAATTCATTTAAAATGATCTTAAGTTCCTAAGTTTTGAAGTAAAAATACTTTTTCTGTATCAGCGATATCAGACTGATAATTTGTGGAGATGTTATATATAATACCATTAGTTTGACTTTATGGTTTATGTTACCTACCAAAAAGTTTATATAAATCTCTAGCCAAAGTAAGCGTTGAAATCTATAAAACAGATTACAATCTGTTGTATGGCTATACCTTCCATAAGTTAAATTTTCTTTATGGATTGTACAAAATTCAGAATTAAGGGCCGGGAATTTAGCACATGGTGGTGCTGCCTGCCTTGAAAGCATAAGGACCCAAGTTCAATCCCCAATACCAAAAAAAAAAAAAAAACACCAACATTCTAAGTACAGAATTAAGTGTCCTGAAAAAGTTGAATCCAAACAATAATTTAGTAAAAGACTGCTGCGTGCTGTGGGTATATATGAAGTATGCCAGTGACAGTGTATAGATGTAGCAGGATGGTACAATACTGAAAAATTATGTTTGACTTGCAGTTATAGGAAAACAACACTTGAGACAAACTTTGAAGAATGGGTAGGTAGTAGTACTTCATCTGAGAGAAAGGAATTTAAAAGGGGAGAAGGGAAATAATGTGCAGTAATAATATTTAGTAGGAAAAATTGCCAAATTTGATTGATTTATAAGGTACTTATATACAAACTAAAACAAAATTTAGAGTAAAATTGTGGAATATTTCATTTCTAGGATGTTATTTTTATAATTTATTTGCTATACAGTAGAGAATAAAAATATTTTAATACTGTCATAAGAAAAATATTCTTTATAAAATATTATTCTGGCAGCAATATGCAGGTATATTTTAAGATGAGGGGCTGACTGAGAAATGGCTTTCTAGAAATTCATTGAAATTGGACCAGCGACTTAGCTCAGTGGTTCCACTGCCTGCCTCACAAGCGCAAGGTCCCGAGTTCAATCCCTGGTACCAAAAAAAAAAAAAAAAAGGAAAGAAAAGAAATTCATTGAGGTTACCAACAGTAATAAGAATATAAGAATACGTTTATAAAGGAGAGGAGAAGATATAGACACTTGACACCTATTTTGTGAATGGAGGTGGTAACAAAAGAAGTCTAACATAATTGCAAAGTTTCAAACAGATGAAAGAGATAATATTAGTACCTGTACCAGAAACAGAATTGAGAAGAGTTGCTTTGGTAGTAAAAATGTTTTATTTTAGACATGTTGAGTTTCCAGTTCTGAAACTGTACAGGAAGTAGAAATTTGGGACTGGGAATTTAGAAGTCAGACTGGACTGGGGAATAACAAATTAGATAATAAACTAGATAAAATTAATATTTAGACTGTAGCCCCTGTTCAAGTCCTAAATGGGAGAAAATGAGAAACTTGAGAGCAGACTCTTGGAGTGCTTTTGATTCATGGATAGGAAAAAACAGCTGTTAACACAAATGGGTGCAGTGGAAGACTAGGAAAGTCAAGATACACTATCCTATTAGAAGAGCAAAAGAAGTTTCAGGGACGAGGTATCTAGTTAAAAAAAAAAAAAAGAAAGATTTTTTTTTTTTTATGCACCAAAGTAAATTAAAAGGAGCTTTAAAACAAAAATCAGTACTTAAATCCAGGGCTGGGGATTTAGCTCAGTGACATTGCACCTGACTCACAAGCACAAGGTCCTGAGTTCAATCCCCAGTACCAAAAAAAAAAAAAAAAAAAAAATCAGTACTTAAATCCAGATTCATGTCAGGCAGACTGAAGGTATATAAGCTGTTATAGCATGACCAATATGCATTTTTTTTCTTTTTTTGGAAGTAAAATTTTAAAAAGTTTACTCCATTGATGGGGATTGATCCCATCTAATGGCGGTGCCCTGATCAGCTCCCTCATTGGGTTACAACTCCTTCTTTTATAGGGTTTTACAGCCTTGATCTTATAACCAATACACATTTCAAAATGGTTATTGCTGCTTCAGTTTTCTCAACTCTAACATGACAGTAATAATAGTTTTTCACTGAGTAGTTGTAGGTTTAAATAAAAATAACCTATGAGCAGTTCTCAGTGCCTATTATATTGCATACAGTATTGCAGAGGTTGCAGCTTTTTGTACTCACTGTAGTCCCTGGTGTTTTATTAGCTTTTTTTGTTGTGTTTTGTTTGTTTACAGTACTGATTCCTTTCTTCTTTCTTTCTCTTTCTCTCTTCTTTCTTTCTCTTTTTCTTTTCCTTTCCTTCCTTCTTTCTTTCTTTTTCCTTCCTTCCTTTAATTAGGTGCAAATAAGTTCATAATGGCAGTTTGTGCACTGTGCATCAGATGGCACTGGGCATTTCTCAAAATTTTAAAATATCCCTCAGAGCCCCTGTGATTTTGTTATGACGCCCTGAATACATCAGTCAACATTTTGGGAACTGGGGAATGAATATTACAAATTAATTACTGGAAGAACCAGAGGTATTTTATAATAGTTTTATTTATGAAGTGGTTCTCTAGCATCATGGGAGCTTTAACAAAAATCTGTTGACCTACTAGTTGTAGCAAACTATGAAAAAAAAAAGAAAGTTTTTTTTTTTTTTTTTTTTTTAATCCAAGGACTAGGGATGTAGCTCAGTTTTGTTTTGTTTTGTTTGTTTTTTTGTATCAGGGATCGAATTTGGGCCCTTGGGCTTATAAGGCAAGCACCAGAACCACTGAGCTAAATCCCTGGCTCATATAGCTCAATTTTGCTGCTCCTGCCTGGTAAGCGCCAGGTCCTGAGTTCAATCCCCAGTACCAGAGGGAAAAAAAAGAGAATGTTAAAAAAAAAATCCATACCCTCTGTCTGTAGTGAATAGATAATTTCAACAGTCACGTGTCCATATTTCACTATGGTTGAACATTTAAATTCTGGAAGTAAAGTTATGTGAATTAGTTGAAGATAAGAGATGTTGCATTTTTAAGGAAAAAATGCAGTTGTTGGAAAGCCCTAAAGGTGGAATAATTATTTGTATATTAAAAATAGTTTGGGGCCAGAAATTTAGCTCTGTGGTTCCACCGCCTGCCTGACAAGTGCAAGGTCCCGAGTTCGATCCCTGGTACCCAAAAAAAAGAAAGAAAAAAAAAAGATTAAAAAAATAGTTTTTATTTGAAATATTTACTGAGAAAATCAAACAGTAAGTATGAAGCTGATATTTTAAAATATTATTGAATTAAATGTATGATAGAAAATATCACTCAACTTTTTATTATTTTAAGTTTAAAATTTTACCCAGAAATGTACATGGACAAAAAAAAATTTGTATGCAATACTTTGTTCACTCATTCATGGACTATCATATTATCTACTCTATATTATCTCCTCTTATTATCTACTACGGTAGAAGTTTCTTTATTAGATCGCTTCACATTAACTCATGCTAAATCTAGAATTTGTTCCTTGTAACTTTCAAAGACTGGATCATTGCCAACTGAGCTTTAATTCATTATAAAACTTTTTTTAAAAAGAAAAAGTATTTTTTTTGCTCTTAACTTTCCTTTTTTATTGTCATACTTTCAATCTTTATCTCTTCACCTGTCTTATTTTAATTGGCTTCAGTATGATTTCATTGCTCCTATCATGCCTGTGGTGGAATCTGTAGATCCAGCATCATGGAGGCAGGGCTTGCGCAAAACTGGCATTGTTCTTGTGCCCAATAAAGGTGAAAAATCTATGGTGAGGCATTTCTACGTGCAAGAATTTATATTAGGTTACAGTATAACAAGTTTAATATAAATATTGGCTCCAGAAATGCATGGTTTTAAGTCCTTATAGTGTGCTCATTTCTGTTTTTGTATGTGCATCATAATTTTCTGTGTGATAAAAGTGTGTAGTGTGTTTTTAAAAACTAACCTCTGGAAAGATAGTCTATTCCTCTTTCAGTTTTACATTCTTACATTTTTGACTAAGATATTAACCTAATTAGTAAGTTTTTTCCTGAAACTATTAACTATAATTTTTAGACATTACTTTGAGACCTTATCATTTCCAAATTAAGAACTGATCAATTTTGATAATTTTTTTTTCCTTTAAAAATAAAATAGTTTCCAACATCAACTACAAAAATTTCTCCCAAAGAAGAAGAGAGAAAAGATGAGTCTCCTGCATCTTGGAGGCTAGGACTTAGAAAGACTGGCAGTTATGGTGCACTTGCTGAAATCACAGCATCAAAAGAGGCTCAAAAGGAAAAAGACACTTCAGGGATTATACGTTCAGCTTCAAGCCCCAGACTTTCCTCTTCTTTGGATAATAAAGAAAAGGTAATATATTTTGCCATGTGATTTTTTGTTTTTGTTTTTGTTTTGTTTTCTTGGTATCAAACTGAGGACCTTGAGCTTGCCAGCCAAGCACAGTGCCACTGGGCTAAATCCCCAGCCCACCATGTGATTTTTATGAGCACTAATAATTTGTTTTCCAGAAATATCAAATCTGATGGATTTTCTAGTAGATATCTTTAGATTCTAGATAACAATTTAATTCACCTGACTTAATAAATTTACAATACATAATTATCTACCATAAACATACTTACATGGCATTATAAGTACCAGAAAGATCAGCACGTTTGCCCAAAACATAACATGTACTTAAGTGAAAAAGACTTTATCATAGAATATATGAAGGATTAGGCATATTTTATTTATTATGATTCCATAAGTTTTCCAAGTTTAGAAACACACTCTTTCTACAATATGAGTATACTTATAAGTTACACTCATATAGTATCTCAAATTCCGTTACTAGCTTTTTGATCTGATACATTACACACAACTTTGTCTTAATGACCTGTTTTAATTATATTCTGAAGGCAGTGTTAGCCAGGCTTAGAGGCACACACACCTGTGATCTCAGTCTTATGGGAGGCTAAGGCAGTAGGATCACAAGTTTGAACCCAACCTAGGCTACTTAGCGAGGCCCTCACTCAAAATAAAAAAGGAAAAAAGACCTGGGGGTATAGCATATTGCAGAGGCCCTTGATGCGATCCCCAGTACTACCACCAAAAATATTTTTTGAAAAACACTAAAATCAGTAGTATGAGTGTTAGATAAGTATGTCACAGTTTATTTAGTGCTATGTTTTGTTTTGTTTTTTTTGTTTGTTTGTTTGTTTTTTTACTGCATTTTCTGTGCTTGAAATTTTTTCTTTTTGCTTATATAGTTTTCTGTCTTTTGGGGAGGGATACCAGGGATGGAACTCAGGTCCTTGCCATTGCGAGGCAGGCGGTGGAGTCACTGAGCTAAATCCCCAGCCTCCTAGTTTTCTGTCTTGCTTTATTTATTTATTTATTTTTCTTTCCTTCCTCATTGAGTTTATTGGTACATTTTAGGTATACAGTACAGTTACATTCATCATTGGGATCTTGTACCTTTACATGACAGGTCTTGGTTCTCATTTTTTCCCCATATCCCTGCCCTCCCTTCACCCTAGTTTTCTTTCTTGAAGAATGTTTCCTCATATTAGAAATTTAGGATGGAATCTCATCAGTTAATTTTTTTTTTTTTTTTTTGGTATTGGGGATCGAACTCAGGTTCTTGTGGCAGGCAGCAGAACCACTGAGCCAAATCCCCAGCACTCTCATCAGTTAATTTTAATATTGTGCCTTTTTATAATTTTATTGCCCAACTTTTTAGTTTATAAAAAGTACATCAGGAATGTGTGTCACTATTACTACACACTATCAGCTATATTTGAATAAATATACCTGAGATATTGAACATTTTTTTTAACTTATGTCTATTTTTTTTTCTCATTGAGTTTATTGGTACATTTACATTCATCATTGGGACCTTGTACCTTTATATGACAGGTCTTGGTTCTCATTTTTCCCCTTATCCCTACCCTTCCTTTACCCCCTCCCCCCTTCCCTATTAACAAGTACTTTATTTCCATTTTTTCATTCTCTCATATTTTTTTCTTTTCCCTTATTGCATTTCCCCTACCCGTCCCACTTTCCCAACACCTTTAGCCCTTTTCTTCCTATTTCACATTGTTAATTATATCATTAGGATCTTATGTACCATTGTAGTTTTTCACAACAGAGAAACTATTTGGTATTTATACATGTGACTTATTTCACTTAGGAGTATATCCTCAATATGTATCCATTTTCCTATGAATGACTCTAATTTCTCATTCTTTGTGGCTGAGTAGTATTCCATTTTATAGAAAAACTACATCTTTATCCAGTTTCCAAGTGATGGGCAAATGGGCTATTTCTAAGTTTTAGCTATTATAAACTCTGCCACTATAAACATAGGTGCACATATATCACTGTGATATGATTCTTTTATTTTTTTTTGGAAAGATACCCAGCAGAAGGATAGCTGGGTCAGATTGAACCTCTAATCCTAGTTCTTTGAGGTATCTCCATATTGATTTCCATAGTGGTTGCACCAGTCTGCACTCCCACCAACAATGTGGAAGAGTTCCTTTCTCCCCACGGCCCCACCAGCATTTGTTATTGTGGCAAGCACACAGGCCCCAGTTTGATCCCCAGTACCAAAAAACAAACAAAATCAGAACACAATGTTATTTTCATTAATTTTTGTTCCTTTTGTACAGGAAAGAGATACTAAAGGTACAAGGCTTGCATATGTTGCACCTACAATACCAAGACGGCTAGCTAGTACATCTGACATTGAAGAGAAGGAAAACAGGTGAGTTAATTAAGATTGCTTTCTGCATTTACTGTAAAGTCTTTGTTATTTAATAATAGAAGCAACATGTTGGCTTTGCAATTATGTCAAAGAACACTAAGTGCATGGTCCTGAGGAGGAGGAGGTACAGGCTTTGTGTGTTTATAAAAGTGAAAAGAAAGCATTGTAAGGGGAAAGTCGTAAAAGAGACTACAAACTAGTACAAGTTCTTTAAACATTTCAGATATTTCAAAAAGGAAAGAAAAGCCCATACTTAATCATTGTGTATATTTTCATTGGTTTCTTCTGATTTTTTCTTCATAGAGAATTTGAGAATTTTTTAGTATAGTCATAATCATGTTATCTCATTTTCTGCCTTGATTTTTTTAATTTAGTATCTCATAAGCACTTTTATATGTTAATACACACTTTGAATAAATGTTGCTTTTCATCAGTACATAATATACAGTAGAATAGATCTGATGAGGTAAAAGTAACACCCCTGGTTTTATGCACATATTGTGTAGTATTTTTTATCATAAATAGTATTTTTATAAACATCTTTACCTTGTCCATATATTTAGTATTAAACCTTTATGGATAGAGTCTTAGAACTGGAATTACATTCCCTTCTTAATAAATACCCAAAGTATTTTCCCATGAGATTTTACTAATTTCTGTTACAACATTTATTAGTATGCAGGTTTCTTAATCCTATTTCAAAACTGTCTACTAGAATCATATTTTGAAATTCCCCTGTGTTCTTTTCACAGAGACTCTTCAAGTTTGCGAACAAGCAGTTCTTATACCAGAAGAAAATGGGAAGATGATCTTAAAAAAAATAGCTCAATTAATGAAGGATCAACTTATCATAAAAGGTAATAATATGCTTCTGAAGTGTTTTTTATGAATTCTTTCATAAAAATATGAGGCTGTTTGCTTTTTTTTTTCCTTCTCAGTACCAGGGATCAAACTCAGGACCTTGCTCTTGCCAAGCAGGTGCAGTGCCACTGAGCTACATCCCCACCCTAGTATGAGGCAGTTTGAAGCCATCAATTTACATCGGTTAAGCAAATAAGTAGTTTGGTTAAATATTATATCCTTTGTTCTTTAAGTAAAATTTAATTTGAATATACAGAGTATAGATATTTAAAGGTGGGTGATGATTTGTTCATATCTGTCTGTTACGTTTAATTAAACTTGATATCTTATGAAGCATTTTTTAGATTGTAGCATATTTAAAAGAAATGTGTTATATGATTGACTAGATGAACTGAAATAAATTAGTATTTCAGTTGATCTAGTTATCGGGCCAGGGATTTAGCTCAGTGATTCAGGTGCCTGCCTTGCAAGTGTGAGGACCCAAGTTCAACCCCGGTACCCAAAAAAAATTTCACACTCAATTGATGTAGTTATCACCTATAATCTGGAAGCTTTCTGCTTATCCTAGGACTCCTTCACTTGGAAGGACTTATCCTAGGACTCCTTCACTTTACTGGGAGGTAGGGGTACTCTACTGAAAGCAACTGAAGAGTAAGATACAGACAAATTTAATGTAGGTATGGGTCACTCCTAGTTACCTGATCCAATGCTAAAAAAAAATTTCCTCAAAAATATCAAATGTTGGGCTGAGGATTTAGCTCAGTGGTTCTGGCACCTCCCTTGCAAGCACAAGGACCTAGGTTTGATCCCCAGTGCCAAAAGAAAAACAAAAAAATATAAAATGTCTTACCTTTTCCTGGATAAAACCAGGTCAAAGTGTTTTTCATACAATCAGCCTGGTGTGACCACATGATCTAGACTATTCTCATATGTGAAATATTAAATCATCTTTGAATTGTATTGAAGGGGTGGGGAGGAGACAATAAAATGAGACACTACCACATTAGCTAAGCCATCCAAACTCTAGCAAGTTGTAGATGCAACTCTTGATGCTGGAGCTGCTGGCATATTTAGGAACACTGTATCTAGACTTTTCCTAGCCTTGTGAATTTGTATACTGTATAAGACATAAAATATAGAATATACATATAGATATATCCTATATAGATATGGCTCTTCCCTTTAGTTGCTCCTTTGGTAGAAGACAAGATGATTTGATTAGTTCTAGTGTTCCAAGCACCACATCAACACCAACAGTTACCTCTGCGGCTGGGCTTCAGAAAAGCCTGCTTTCCAGCACAAGCACTACTGCAAAGATTACAACGGGTTCTTCCTCAGCAGCCACACAGAGCAGGTAAGGCACAGATTCACTTTGTGTTCAAGTGTACTATGTGCTTATGTATGTGCATGCATCTTTGTTTAGAAGATTGTGGGGCTCTGGATTTTTTCATTTACCTTACTAATTTCCAAATAAAAAAATTGGTTCCAAAATGAAGCAATTGTGCATGTCTGGGGCAAAAATTAAGTTCCTGAATTAGACTGCTTAAAATGTAAATTTCTGTCTGGCTGCTCTGGGTGAGCTTTTTGGTTTATAGTTGAAAGATGTCTCACGTGTTTTTAAAAAATCCATCCCTGTAGTCACATGTTTTCAGCTGCTACAAAGTGCTTTCATTGTTTAGCTATTTTCCTTTTCTCTTTTTGTGTTGCTGCTTATGATGCTATAGTACCTCAAATCGTTTGTGGGCTGAGGATAGTACTGAAAAAGAAAAGGACAGTGTTCCTACGGCAGTGACCATTCCTGTTGCTCCAACTGTTGTAAATGCTGCAGCTCCTACTACAACCCTGACAACAACTACTGCTGGCACTGTCTCCTCTACATCAGAGGTCAGGGAGAGACGCAGGTGTGTAAAGGTCCTAACAGAACTGCTAATGTGTTTGCCTGGTGCTGAAAGTTGAATTTTGGGTTTTTTTAATTTTGATAAGTTGATGACCATCTCTTAGTAGGCTAACAAGTAAAATAATTCTGTTTTAAGCTTGGAGCTATGTAAATTGACATAACTAGTAACTATTAGTATTTAGGCTTGATAACCCACCCTCTGAGAGAATTTAATGTTTTTATTTTAAGGCAGTGAGCCAAGTACTTACCTCCTTACTTAGCTTTTTTTTTTTTTTTTTTTTTTTTTTTTTTTTTTTTTTTTTTTTTTTTTTGGTTTTTAATGGCTTTATTTCAAAAAACTTTTGTGATGAAGGCCTAAACAAATTTATGGGGAATATGATGCAGTGTGACAAAAACAGCTTCTGTCATACTTCTCATTGTTTCCTCCCATTATTAAGAAACTTGATGGATGTTGAACTGTTTTTGAAAGTTTCATTTTAAGATTGTTTGGCTGGGGATGTAGCTTGGTTAGAATACTTTTCCCTGGCGTATATGAGACCCTGAGTTTCATCCCTAGCTCTACAAAAATGGGGGTTGAAAAAGAAGGGGAATTCTTTAGGTGAGGAAAACGTTCTGTACATATGAGTAAGTCAGATAATTTAAATACAATTTGTAAGTTCGCTTACTTTTAGTTCTAGTACATAAAAACACTAAATGTTTTAAAGAATCGTACAAATTTATTATGCATTCTTTAAATATATTTAAGAACATTGCTTACATCTTCTGCAACCTATTAATATGAAATCATAGATATAGAAAAGTACTTATTCATTGTCTTTTGGGAATATCTTTATTTTACAAAAGGAAACAGACCCAGAGGCTTTATTCTTGCAAAATTAAATTAGCTATATGTAGTATTTTCCTTGCTAAAATACTGACTAGATTGACTTTCTGTCACATAGTGCTATGTAGAATCCTTTTTCTGCAGTGCCTATGAAAGTGCTTGGTCTGTACTAGTTAATATTTGTGTTTGAATATGTGAAAAATAACAAGTTCTTATTAAATGTTTTACTATTGTATCTTTAGTTTTTGTCAGTATCTTTTATGAAAAATGTGAATTTTTTTCTTTTTTTTATTAGTATGCTTGTAGTACATAATGATTACATTCCTTATGGGGGAGTTGGTGCATGTATATTCCTTTTCCATTTGAAAAAGATCTAACTCCCTATTTTCTATTACCTGTCTTTTATTTTGCTCTTTATTTATATCTTGAGTTTAAATTTCATTAATGGTGAGTTTTAATGATAATTTCATAACATCATTGCAGGTGCTTAGCATTTTGTGAGTGAAATGCCAATGTGTCATACTATGTTTTAATTATTCTTACTTTTTTTATAAATTTAAATCTATTTTAGGTTTTTGTGGTGCTTTCAACAAGACCACATAGGCAATAGAAATTAGAGGATTAAAAACATCAGATTCAGCAAAATAACCCATTAATTAGAGTATTCTGAATAAGAATGTAGGCTTCAATTTTTTTGGGTGAATTGATACATCCCACAGCCTCTTTCTATATCTTGATTCTTTCTCCAGATTATAATTTCTTCTGGAAAAAAAAAGATGTTTGATTTATATATTTTAACTTCTAAAATCCTATATCTGCCATCCCATGCTTTTTAAAAAATTTTTCACTTCATTGACGCTTAGCCGAATGAATGCATCCCAGAATTCCTTTTTTGGAGTACTGGGGATCTAACGTTCTCCCAGGATTATTCCTCCAGCTCCCAAATTTAAATATTTTAAATATTACAAATTAATATGCTAGATTTTATGCTGTTTTGAGGCAAATGTATGGAAAATTAAATGAATAGACTTTACAAGTGTGTTAAATAGTACTTTACATCCCTAATCTCATATGTCAAAGCAGATGTGATAAATAGGGTTTTTTTAATTCATGGAGAGAGTTGAGTTTTGACTTCTAGATTAATTCATTAATTAATTGATTAATGAAAGATATTAAAGATTGAAAATTAAATTTGATGTATTTTTAGGACAAAGATTATCGCGGCGTAAGAAACGTGTCTGTTAACATTGTTTCTGGTCTACATTGTAGAGATTGTGTTTGTCTTGCTTTGTTTAAATGTCTGTTATAATGTTTGTGTTTTCTTCCATGTGAAATAGTTACTTGCAATTTTTAATACATTGTTGGCCTCTTCTGTTTGTCTTTTAATTAAATTTCATCAGTGGTTCTGAAATGTTTATATTTGAAATTTGCCTTAAAATAACTTTATTTTATATGAACTCTTTCAGTATAACTCCTCTCTTCCACCATTTTGGTTTAGCCAGCCCCCATTTTCTCTGAAAATAAAAATGCTGAGTGTGAAATAACATGGGTTGATATTCAGTATTTTAAAGGTGTAATTTGGTTAACTAACAAAAATATAACCATTATAAATAAATATTTCAACAGCCAACAACAGTCAGTGCAATAAAGATGTGAAGTAATTTAATGGGAAAAACCTCTAATTTTAAAAAGTCTTAAGGCTGTTCACAAAATAGTAAGCAATCTAAGAAAAATGAATAAAATTATACCCTGTGTAACTCTTGAGGAACAAACACAGGATAGGATGATACTGCAGTGATTCAGATAACAGCAGAGTTTGGCTGATATACTCTTGCCATATTTTTGATGATCATCTCTTTGGAATTAAAACTATAAAAAATATACAAGTTATTTTCTTCTCTCCATCCTATTTTTAGAGGTTTGTTCTAGATGAGAAAGGAAAAATCAGATGGTAACTAGCAAATACAGGAAATATTTTAAATATTACAAATTAATATGCTAGATTTTATGCTATTTTGAGCCAAATGTTGTATGGAAAATTAAATGAATAGACTTTAGAAGTGTCTTAACTAGTAACTTACATCCCTAACCTACATGGTCAAAGCAAGTGTGATAAATACGGTTTTTTTTTAACTCACAGGATCCTGGAGCTGTATTAAAAAGGAATCTAGTTGGACAGGGAGATCATAAGTTCAGGCCCAGCCTGGGCAACTGAGTGACTCAGCAAGACTCTTTCTCTGAAAATTTAAAAATGAAAAGGGGCTGGGAATGTAGCTCCATGTACAGGTTTAATTCTCAGTATTACCACTGCCCAAAAAAGGAAGGCAGACTCATTGAAGCCTGCCTGCAGCTCATGAAATGCTGAAGAAATACTCTATGTGGCCTTTATTAAAATTGTTTTTTCTCATTGAGTTTATTGGTACTTTTTAGGTATACAGTACAGTCACATTCATCATTGGGATCTTCTAACTTTACATGACAGGTCTTGGTTCTCATTTTTTCCCCACACTCCTGCCCTCCCTTCACCCCCTCCTCCCTTCCCTATTTACAAAAACTTTATTTCCATTTTTCCGTTTTCTCAGGTTTTTTTCTTTTCCCTATTTCCTTTCCCCTACCCTTCCCTTTATAAATTTTTTAACCAGATTAGCTTTTGCTTTAGGTATCATATTATATATTATATAAATTTTTTTTTTTTAATCTGTGAGCAGCCCAAAAAGTACCAGTAGGTACATAAATAAGAAATAAAGTCCTTATATCCTAGAAGTAATGTTTCTTAAACTTCATTAAGAGTACTGGTCAGTGCCTTCCTCCTTTTAAATTGTTTGTCCCAGAAAACTCAGTATAATTATTTTAAAAACAGGAAGTATATGTTATATTGAAATAAAAACCTGAAAACTCAAGGTTATTGACAGAAAGGAGCATTATAAAGTAATGGGAAAACAAGAAATGTTAAGCTTAGTGTAACGTCAAGGAAGGAAGGGAAAGCAGATCTTCCCAAAATTTCTATCTGTGCATTGGTACAGTTGAAACCACGTGTAGCAAAATCTGAATTGAGATTGCAAGAGAAAATCAAACTAAGAAAAGGCCAACCACTAAATTGTTTTGTTTCTCCTGTGCTTCCACTTTAGGAAAACAAGTTAAAGTGACATATAAACAAATTTATGTTATGAATTTAGATCAGTACTAATATATTAGTAGAAACTTGATAAGAGAACTTCTTGACCAAAGTGCTTTAGTTCGAAGAGGTGTGCCTTCATTATGAGATAAATATATTACTACGAGAGCAAAAGCACATCATCTTTCAGTAGTCTAACAACATGGAGGTCAAAACATGATAAAGAACATATAAATAAAAAGAAAATGTAGTTATATACAATAGTGCCATAAGTTATTCAACAAGAAATAGGTGAATTTTAACTAATAAGTAAGACCTAATTAATGAAACTGATTCAAGTAAGATTTAAATGAGAAATTTGTCATCAAGGAGGTAAATGCAGTATTAGGAATGATGAATCATGTATTTAAAAGTTCAAGAGTGTGGAGGGAAAGAAATGTAAGCTCCACTATATAAAAAAGGAATGAAAGCTCTCTGAAAAGAATTCTGGAGAAACTGTAAATTCTAAGAAAATTGAAGGTATACTACTGAAGTTCCTGAATTTATAGTTGTTAAAGGACACGCAGAAAAAAATAGAAAAAGCATAAAACCACAAATTCAGAATTTTGTTATGCTTGTATGAATAGTGTCAGAGATTAAAAAGCAGAATGAAAAAAAAAGGCAGAATGAACTACAGATTTAGAGGGATACAAAAGTTAACAAAAGAACTCATTTGAATAAAGAAAACTCCCCAGACCATTATTACTTAGGGAATTTGAGAAAGGTACAGGTATAATAAATTAAACTTATTATACTAAACATAAAAAAATAGAGATAAAGTGTTCTAAGAGGAAATATGTGCTACATAGTAATATAATTAGAGTTAGCAACTGAATTCCCTAGGTAATACTCATTAGTAGAGGGAGGTCTTCATGTTGTATGGCAGGGCTCTGCCTTATCTCTTCTTGGCCCTTTAATTGTTTAACCTTGGATCAGGTTCTTATTCAAAGTGTGAACAAGAGTATGATGGCTGCCAAAAAGCATTATTAATGAAAGCACACTGACAGAAAATGAATGGAATGCTGCTTACTCACTCAACAGCTATAGTTAAAATATTGCATCCAATCTAACCGTTGTACTGAAAGAAAACACTGACAGGGAAAGAGATTTAGCTCAGTGGTGCCTCCGCCTGCCTTGCAAGCACAGGGACCTGAGTTCTATCCCAGGTACCAAAAGAAAACATTGACAATCTAGAATTTGGTCACATAACTTCATATATCACTTAAGATTATGTTACATGAGGCCAAAGTGGGGCAAAAGGAATGATTTAAGGAATTAGTATTGTGTACTCTAAATAGTAAAAAATTTAGAAAGGAGTTTGATACTTATCTAATATTTAGTATTTTAATTTTTTTTAAATATTGTAGGTAGATGTCTATGGCCATACCATCTTGAACTCTCCCAGTCTCATCTAAAAATACTATAGGTGGAGAAGAACTTAATAATAGAGCATAGCCCATTAAAGGTATAGATCTAATAGGGAGACTTTAACAGTTTGAGGAGTTAGAGAATTTACATGACTTTTTTGTTTTTAATGAGGTTAGATTGTCACTTTTTTAGATTTTTATCAGACAGGAAAAAGGACTTTTCTAAGTAGAAACAAAAAAATTAACTCCCTGTCCATTTTTGAAAAATTGACCTTTTGCTGAAATGAAATGTTTCTGCCAGTGTCAGTAGAAATAAAATTTTGAATCATTGATTCTCTAAATTTTTCTAAATGTGGTTCTTAAAATTATATGAGTAAGAGCCGGGAATTTAGCTCAGTGGCACTGTGCCTGCCTTGCAAGCTCAAGATCCTGAGTTTGATACCTGATAGCCCCCCCAAAATTATATGGTTAAAAATATAATTGGGAAGAAATTAAAATATGATATAGTGAAATATAATTAGTTCCAATCTAAAAGGAAATGATCAGGTGGCATATTGAATTTCAGAGTGGGTACAACCATTGTGTAAAGATTCTTTTTCTTAAAACTCATTAAATACTATAAGTTATATTAACACTCATATTTGCATTCATATATATTTCATTTCCAATTAACAATTTTTATTTATTACTTTAGATCATACCTCACTCCTGTTAGGGATGAAGAATCTGAATCCCAAAGAAAAGCAAGGTCTAGACAAGCAAGACAGTCTAGAAGATCAACACAGGTATGTTACATGTATATAACATGTAAAAATTACATGAAGCATATATATGTACTTGATGTGCTTGGTATGCAAAAACTAGTTGCCTTTTTTTCACTTTTTGTTGCAATATGCACATCTCTGTATTAGAGTCAACCTTAAAAAATGCTGTACTAATTCCCTTTTGGACTTTGTATGTAGTTGTGCTGTTACTATTATATTTCATCTAATTGGCTGTATACTTTTGTGTTGCTTCATTTATTATTTATTCCCTACTTCTAATTTGATGTCTGGAAGAATGTTTGATTCCTGTTAGAATAAATTAATCATGTATGATGCCTAATAATGATTGAAGAGTTCTGTGACTATTTGGAGTTCTTTGTCTATTTGGCTGGGGTCAGGAATAAGCCTCTTAAAAAGTATATATCAAACATCTAATATACAAGTATGAGAAAAATGTCTCTCAGGCTAGTTATTAGCTTCTTCCTCTCTTATTCTAGTTAAGATATATAAGATAATGCCCTCTAGTTTTTGCTTTCCTACAGCTGAGGAACTCCACAGTACAAATTATTCAGCTATTTGATCCTTAACACTGCTTAGCTTTCAAACTGAGCTGTTGGTTGGGCCTTAACATCTGTTTTCCATTATTTTGTTTTGAGGGTTCAAGGGAGTTGAGACAGGATTTTGCTTGTATTCCAGTCAGTCCTTGAACTCACTATGTAGTCCATGTTGGCTTCAAACCTGTGGCAATCCTCCCACCTCAGCCGGGATTGGAGGCATGCACAACACCTGGCCTTTTTCTGTCCTCCTGCCTTTTACTTCTTGTCTAACCTGTTCTTCAGAGTTAAAAAAAATATTTCTTTATTGAAATCTCTGTTAAGCCTTCAAAGTTAATCACAATGTAATTCATAATATAAAAAATGTTATACATGCAAATACATAAACACACACACACACATATGTGTAATGTATTATATAAACAATGTATCTGTTATTTCCTTGTCCCTTCTCTGAACTTTGAAGCATTTACATTTGTTATGGTATTTTTATCTCTCTTAATATTTTGTTAGTTTCTGAATATGGGGTCAGCTTCTCATCCACATCAGTATCTTCCCCACAACCTGTCAATTTGCTTACTCATTCTTCATAGAATTAATGTAACTTGCTATGTTAAAATTATTTCTTTTTATCAATCAAAAACATGCATATTTTTCTTTTGCTCATTCATATTTAATGTATCAATTTCTAAAATATTGAAACAAGCCTCAATGCACTTCATAATTAAATTTGTCCCTTTTTTTGTGTGTAGGGAGTGACATTGACTGACCTTCAAGAAGCTGAAAAAACAATAGGAAGAAGTCGTTCTACAAGAACTAGAGAACAAGAAAATGAAGAAAAAGAAAAAGAGGAAAAAGAAAAACAGGATAAGGAGAAACAAGAGGAAAAGAAGGAGTCAGAAACATCTAGAGAAGATGATTATAAACAAAAGTACTCCAGAACATATGATGAGGTAATAGTTGATTGGCAATACAATTGGGTCAGATGGTATGAATAGATCTTACAACCCTAAATACACGACATTTATGTATCAACAAAACTATGTAAAACATGAAATTGTTTTACCTGCAATTTTTTGTTACTTAGGCACCAGAACATTATTTTTCCCTTGAAATGAACTCATTTAAGTACTCTGTATGTCTTTATAGTTATTAATATTGCACGTGGGTTTTAATTTTATTGTTTCACAGACTTATCCACGTTATAGACCAGTATCAACTTCAAGTTCAGCTACTTCATCCTCTTCACTTTCTACGATGAGCAGTTCACTCTATGCTTCAAGTCAACTAAACAGGCCAAATAGTCTTGTAGGGATAACTTCCGCTTACTCCAGAGGATTGACAAAAGAAAATGAAAGAGGTAAGAAGAACAATTTTGAAAACACTTTCTTGCCTTCAAATAACCCTTTGGCTTTACTGTGCAAAGAACAACATTCTAAATTGTGATTTATTCGACCTGAACAGAGAAAACATGAGATTAAGAATGAGAAAAATAGGGGGAAAAAAAATCCAGAAAATGTTACGATCTGAAATTGATACATATATCCTTGTAACCTAACACATAACAAAAACCTTTATGTCCTCCTACTGAAAAAGTTAATTTAGAATAGCACTAATGGGCAACTAGTACTAAGATTGATTTTTAGTACAGTACTTTTTAGGAACATTAATCTATTTCTTATGCAGATCATATTTTTCAGTTATTTTTTAGGAGACTTTTAAAGTAAAGTCATTCAACAAATGTAATATTCTTGTTAAAAAGAAAATGTTTATGCTTCTTGAGAATTAGATTTCTTAGCTATATTTTGGCATATTAATGGACACTTTTATAAAGTTGATATAAACTTCATATTGGAATTCTAATTAATTCTTATTCAACTTACTATTGAAAGTGGCTAATTTCTATTTCATATCAAAAATGAGTGAAAGGTCCAGAGATTTGGTTCAGTGGTGCTGTTGCCTGCCTCGTAAACACAAGGTCCAGACTTCAGTCCCTGGTACTGGGGAAAAAAAATGAGTGCTGATTGATTCCATTTTATGTTCGAAAGTGAAATCTCATAATATTAATCATTATTAGTATCAATAATATAGAATGAGCATCAGAAAATTTTTACTGGATTTCCAGCTAGATTTTCTTTTGTTGATCATTAAGATATTTTAATTCTTTTTTTTTTTGGTACCAGGGATTGAATTTGGGTCCTTGCACTTGGAAGGCAGGCCACCAAACCGCTGAGCTAAATCCCCAGCCCGATATTTTAATTCTTTAAAAAAAAAAGATTTTAATTCTTTAAACTGTTGTATTTGAGGCCCATATAGTGTTTGTAAAATATTGAGCCAAATTTAAATTTAGGGACATTTCACAAAAAATTCAGATTTTTGGCTTTCCTTAAAAAACAAAAATTTGTCAAAAAACTAATTTTGGGGGCCTGAGATTTAGCTCAGTGGTTCCCCTGCCTGCACGAGGTACAAGGTCCAGAGTTTGATCCCTAATGCAAAAAAAAAAAAAAACACACTAATTTTGGGGTGTCCACTAGTCTCCTGCCTCCAGTATGGGGATAGAACTCAAGACCTTTGCACTTGCAAGGCAGGCACAGCACCACTGAGCTAAATCCCCGCCCTGCTAATACTCTTTAAAAATCAGCTTTGTTCCTTATATTTATTTAGTATATTTAGTGGTCTTGTAGTATATGTAAGCCTAAACCCATTTTAAGTGTTGCAGGGAGGAAACAAATTAAGAGTAACGTGTTTATATTGATTGGTTTTAAATAAAAGACAACATTTTCCAAAAGATATTTGTGATAAAAATGACACAAATATATACTTCTTCTAAATGAGGACTGACAACAGAAGTAGAAACTAAGATTTATATCATTTCTACAACGTGTCCCATCATTAAGATGGTTGTGGATTGGATTGTTTATTTTCTCCCTCTTGTGGATTTCTCTAATTTATGACCCACAGGCCAGTAGCCCCAAAAAAAGGAAGTTCTGTACTTACATATAAACTATATGCTTATTTTATATGTGGCCCAAGACAGTTCCACTTCACTCACTGTAGGCCAGGCAGGCAAAAAGGTTAGATGCCTGAGTATTAATTTTGGGGATCATAGCTATCTCTAGCACACATTAATAACTGGAACCCTGTCTTCATAGGATTCCTTTACTTTTTGTTCAGCAAGTAAATCTTTTGAGCAAAATTTTTACTTTAGATACTAGGAAAAGGGAGATCATTAGTTTTTGTGATTCTTGGGAACATAATTTAATGGGAGATAAAGATGTATGATTATACCAAGAGGATAGGAGTACTGAGGGGGGCCAGAAACTCTGATTGGAGAAATTTAGGAAGCTTCACAAAGGAGGCTGATTTGGAATTGTTTTGACATATATAGCTTTCACAATTCTGTCAGGATACGTTGTTGTCAATTGATTTATTGTTATTCGTAACAGAAGGAGAAAAAAAAGAAGATGAAAAAGAAAGTGAGGATAAATCACAACCTAAGTCCATCAGAGAACGACGGCGACCAAGAGAGAAAAGAAGGTCTACAGGAGTTTCCTTTTGGACACAAGATGTGAGGATCTGCTACAACTACTTTTATAGAATGCCGAATGTTTCCAAAAGTGTATACTAATAATTTCTTACATGTTTCTTTAAATCATCATTGTGTTTTCTGAATTGGTTGTTAAATAAAAGTCCTTTATAAAGATAGTTAACAGCTACTTAGATTTTTGGGGATTACTTAAGAGGAGTTCTGCCCCAGTTTTGGAATAAAAATTAAAATGGCTGCTGGTTGGAGGACATATGCTGGTAATTTCACAATGGCTAAACTGCTTATAGAGATTTCTCAAAAGAAAGATGTTTTACTTTAATCTCACTTTCACAAGTAGTATTGTAATATCTACATGACAAAATTGTTTCCATCTCAAGGGATGCTGGGTAGAAAGAGTGTTTTACTAATGAAATTACAACAACCCCATAAAAATTAATTTTTTCCAGATCCCTGACCATATGCCTTACATTTTTTTCAGATCTCTGTATATGATCTCTTTCTTGTATGTAAGAGAATTATAAGGCAGCAGCATTAATGTGAAATTAATATTTCAAAACATTATGTAACTATGGAAGAGCAAACATCTGGTCTTTTCCTTTTTAGTGTCTTCATTGTTTTCTCTTTTTAGAATAAGAATCCTGTTGAAGCATGCTATGTATGCAGAAACATAATTTCTAAATGTCTAGCATAAGGAATTGGCCTAAAAACAGTGTATACACCCACATATATATTCTCTCTCTCTCTCTCTCTCTCTCTTTCTCTCTCTCTCCTAATCATCCTCATTTTCAAAGCCAACCAGAATCCAGTCTTTATTGTTGTTGTTGTTGATGTTGTTGTTGTTTGCACTGGGAACACAGGAATGCTCTTCACTGAGCTACATCCTCATCTCTTTAAATTTTTAGACAGCTTCTCACTAAATTGCCCAGACAGGACTTGAACTCGCAGTCTTTCTGTCTCAGCCTCTGAGTGCTGACTAACAGGTGTGCACCACCACACCCAGCACCAGTATCCCATTTTTAACATCGGAATTAACTATGCCTGTCTCTAATAATTTTTTATCTTATAACTGCCTTTTGGAAAGCTTTCTTTTGATTCAGCTCTGCATAATGTATCTTTTATGTACTTGTATTTTTAGCTGTTTTTCTTATAAACAATGTATTTAGGTAAACTTTTGAATACCTCTATCTTAATTACAGTGATTTAGTCCATTTTCATTTTATTTAATAATATAATCACACAGGGCTGGGGATTTAGCTCAGTGGTTCTGCTGCCTGCCTCACCAAGCGCAAGGACCCAAGTTCAATCCCTGTTATTAAAACACACACACACACACACACACACACACACACATAATCACATATACTACAGATAACATGTCATATGTACCTTAAAACATGAAGAACTAAGAAGATATAAAAGCAGTAGCACAAAATGTGGGGAAGTATTAAATGGAGTTGAATAGTTTTAGTATCTTTGAATTGTTTGTGATATAGGCAAAGTACATATGTATTACGCTTGATGAATCAGCAGCATATGTGGCTATAAAACAATAGTTTTAAAAGACATGGAAAATAAAATAATACATAAATGATAAGGATAAATGAGTAGATAAGGAAAACAGATAAATCATATTTTCTTCTCATTTTTAATACAGAAAAATTCAAACATAAAAGTTAAATGATCCCATCCCAAGTATCTGTTATTTCAGCTGAATGTCCTTCACTTCCCCAGTTCTAGCATCCAGTTGACTCAAATATCAGAAGTGATTTGTGGTTTTAGCTTTATCATTTGTTGGTTTGATTAGGATCTAAAAAAGGATTATATATTATGATAGTTAATTCTTTGTTTGAGGTCTCTCAATCAGTAAGATTCTCTTTTTTTCTTTACAATTATTTTTGAAGGAACTGAATTATTTCTGTGAAGTATAAGTTAACATTCTTTTTTTATATTTTCTATAAACTGTTAGTTGGATTAATCAGATTCTGGTTGGGTTTTTTTATTTGTTTTTTGGGGGTTTTTTTGTTTGTTTGTTCTTGGTACCAGGGATCAAACTTGGATTCTTGCACTTGTAAGGCAGGTGGCCGAACCACTAAGATAAATCCCTGGCCCTGGTTTATTATTTTTTGGGCAATGTTTTTATTCTTCGGTAAGAAAATGAATAATGTCTTGTTGATTTTAACTGAGTGCTCAGTAGCATTTTTAATAACAAATAAAACCTTAGTCTGCATGTTTAGTAAGTTAATGTTTAAGTAATGTTTAATAAGTCTTACTACTTAAAATTATTCTTAAAACATATATTAGAAGTTTCATAGGTAAAGCTATATTATTATTATTTAGTATTTATTTTTCTCTAGTTTTATTCAGATCAGTTCTTTGTTCAGAAATCCACGTTGTGAAATCATGCACTTGACCAGCATTATAAGGATTCTTCCTCGGATCCATAATGGGATACCCCTGTTTTTAATTTGAGTAGAATGACTGAGCCATCAAGATAAAGGATTTTTTTTCTGTAATAAAAGGATAAAATACTTCCTCTTTGAACCTTTAATAGACAACATACAAAAAGAACCAGGAGCTTAGACAAAGAAATGATGTGTAGTTAGGTAGCTCTTTCTTCTGTTGTAGTATTAGATTCCTTTTCATGGTTACTATTTTTTAGGAACCCTAAGCCTCCCCCACTTCTTTCTGACTAGTTCCTGTGTTCCCCCATGAAATTGCAGGAAGACCATGAGTTCATGACATGGAGTTAATAATAGTACAGCAATGTCATTAATAGCTCCTGTTCCCTTAAGTTCACATAACATTTTTGTTAGGTACCAAACTGGTATCTTAATACAAAATGCCTTTCTAATCCATGGAACAAAGTTCTATAGTTTACGTCCTCACTTATGGATAACAATAGCTCAGAAAGTTAAAATAATTTATCTTAAGTTACACAACTAAAAATAACTATACTGATATTAAACGAGATTCATCGAGTTTAAAACCTGTAGTATTTCTACAGTGAACCTAAGCCGAGTATTTGAACACAAATTTTTCTTTTGTATTCTTTAACCTTTTAAAGCTTGTTGATGTTTTTAAGACCTTCTAGTAGACTGTTCTCATAGGCTGGGGTCCTAGATATATTGTACTACAACCTTGATTTTCTATTCCATGTACTCTAAACTACTAGAAATTTCTAGAAAGAACTCCATGTAAACATATAGTCTTGCTAAGTTTAGTAAATTTAGCTTTTTAACATGAAATTGTATTTGCTGCTTCTTTAAAATTGAGTGACAAAAAACATAGTATTTATATTGACTTTTGAAGCATTTGCAGTATCATTATATAATATCATATTAAACTGTTTTATTCATCTTTAAATATTTGTGTTTCCCACACCGTATGTTAGATGAGTTCTCTTCACATATACACTAGGCCTGCTTAGATTGGGCTATGCCAACAGGATAGGTTTCCTCTTAGGAGGGTAGAAAACTTCCACTTAAAAATTCATTTTTCTTTTGATCATTTCATAGTATGTTTTTCTCAAGAGTCATTTAAATGGGAAAAGCCCTAAAATTCTTAAATACCAACTGTTTGAAATCTGTCTTTTCTTTCCTAAAATAAATTGACAATCTGTTTTAGAGTGATGAAAATGAACAAGAACAACAATCAGATACAGAAGAGGGATCCAATAAAAAAGAAACTCAGGTAAATAGCACTGTTTTCTGTATTGAACCGTATTAATATTTTTAAAGATTACTTTTAATTGTTTTTAATTATATTTACTGATGCAGAATAGTAATTATACCCTTACCTACCTGTGGGAATAAATAATAAATGTGGGGCAGACAAACTGAATAGGGATACATAATATTTCAGACAGAATGGAATTGTTCTAGAATCTTTATTTTACTAGTAATTTTATGATGATATAGTAACTGCTAAAACTCATCAAACTGTATACTCTAAATGAATGTAATTGAGTTGTATTTCATCTTTAGAATTGAAAAGAAAAAGCAAAACTGTTGAGTAGTGTCTTTAAAAAGAAAATACCTAAAAGAGACTCAGAAGTAATAGAAATCTAGAGATAATAAGCTCAGATTTTATTTCTGTAGAGGCATAGTTATAAGTATGTTCTAGAGAAAATATGCCTTTTCTTGTGTTTAGAAACATAGAGTCGGCAATAGACTTATTTTATATTCATAATCACCGTCTTCTGAAAAGGCATTCTTTTCTCCCTTAGTACTGATGAAAGAATTAAGGCAACTTGAAATGCAGTGTTAAAAGTTTTTTCCCCCTTGCCTTTCTTTTTGTTTGCATCCCTGTTGTTTGGATGGGCAGAGAAATAAAGAGCTCTTTTTTGCATAGGGTTAGAAGTGTACAATATGGGTTAACACTGTCTAGCCTCAAATAACATTCTGCTCATATTAATGTTGTCTTCTTCATTTCAACTAAAGATTTCTTAATTGAATTATTACACTTTCTTTTAGTCAGCAAGTAAGTGACCAAAAGCTGGTTACCTGTGCAAGGGTAACTATGAACATTTAGTTTAAGGAATGAGTTTGCCTGATTTGACTCAAAAAGTACTTTTACCTTTAGGTCAGACCAATAGATTAAGGAATGAATAAGTATTGCAGGGTTAATACTTCATCACTTAACATGTTCATGACAGGGTCATAATTTGTAAGTCTCCCTGCCATAACTTGTAAGCTTGTACCACTGGGGCTACAAACGGATCTGCTTGCTTTTATTGATCTTTTCATTAATAAAAAGCCACCTCATGAAACAGTTAAGCATGTACTTCCAGTGGTTGAAGCCAGCAGGAATGTGTTAAATTATTTTGCCTGTCAATTATTCACTTTCCCCCTGCTTACCTACTGTATGTCCCTTCTTTATTCTGTCACCTTATTCATTTGTCATCTTTGTTTTCCCATTGGTATTTATAAATTTCCATTTAAATGGACAGATAATAAGAGAAAAAAATTAATAAGGAGCTAGGGATTTAGTTCAGTGGTGCTGCACCTACCTGGCAAGCACAAGGTCCTGAGTTCAATCCCCGTACCAGAAAACAAACTAATAAAGACATCCCCGGTGGCACTTCTTTCTTTCTCACTGCCTTTACCATATGAAAACCGCTTCACCCCAGGCCTCAGTGGGAGAGAGAAGTGTTCGGTCTTCTAAAGCTGTAACTCTGAAGCATGTGTTAAGTTTAAGTTTTATTATACAAGTTATACCAAAGATACATTGATGTTAAGTAGGACATTGTATTTAAGACAAAAAGTTTTCTTAGTTCCCAGCAGTTTACTTTTCAATAAAAGATTCTTTAGATCTTGCTTTGTGCTGACATTCTTTCAGTTACAAGAACACAGGATACCAAACTCAAACTGGATTAAACAAGAAAATAATTTATTATATTCTGGTAGTTTTCCATGTCTGTTCATCCTGAGGCTAATTTACCTCATTGAGATGGGAATATATTTGTCTTTGGCCAGACAAGGTCCACTGAACTCTTGCAGCTACTTTGCTATCAATGTGGGCCATGGGTCATGTCACCTTCACCTAGTGATTGTTATGCCATAAAGAAAAGGAAGGGTGGAGTTAAGGTGCTGACCCACAGTGCCTTATTTAATAGACTGAAACAGCTTTCCCCCAATGTGTATACTCTTCTCTTTTGAAAAATGGTATCATCAGCCCTTACTTCTCTGTGAGAAGATGTGAGCAGAATTCTTATGAACATTTTTAAAAATAGTGTTATTACCTCATATTTGTAACTTCTGTACAGTTTAATCAAATCTCTCTAAAAATTCCTGTTGATAGGGAATAGATTACATAAAATGTATATGCACAGAACAGTACAGTGGTACCTTGGTTCACAAATGCTTTTGGTTGCGAACTGCATTGGGTGACAAACAGAAATGTGGCTGTCTTTGCCACACAAACACAAATGTGGCAATCTTTTCCAAAATTGTAGACCAAACTAAGTTTGTGAACTGAGGTACACTGAATATTCACATAGATGCTTTGTATTAAAAATGAAGGTTAATAGTGCTTGTCTAGGAGATAGATGTATAGAGAGTTATAAAGGAACTCGGTACCATATACGTTTATATGAGCTTACAGTATAGTAATCAAAAATTAAAAGAAAATGTTCACTTTGGAAAAAGAATTTTTACAATATTGGGAACAAGGATGTGCTAAGTGAAATAAGCAAGACACAAAAAAGACAAAGACTGTATAATTCAATTTACTCAGTTATCTAAACAGGTCAAAACTTTGGAACAAAAAAAAAATTGTGGTTGCTGGTATTGGGGATGGGAGGATGAATTCAGTAAGTACTGAGTTTTAGTTTTGCAAGATTAAAAAGTTTTAGAGATCTGCACAAAGATGTGGATAGTTAATATCAATAAACTGTATAGTTAAAAGTGGTTTGGATAGTAAATTTTGTGTTAATGTGTTTTTTGCTATGTTTCTTAAATGCTTAGTCACTGACAACACTGATTTTTTTTTTTAAGACAAAATTTGGGTGATTTTTGTGACTGCTAGAATTTTTACTTACTTTTAAAATTCAAATCAGTGGAAAAAGTGCAGACATGAAATATGTTTTCATTAGATTATATACTTGTTCATGTCTAAATATTTTACTGAATTTAATTACTATTTTAAAATTTCAAATTTATTCTTTAAATTTTTAATTGTTACCAAGCCAAAGGATAAATCAAAATAAAATATTACACCTTAAAAAATACAAAAGGAAAAGTACAAGACTTGACTCTTCAAATGAAGTTTATAAATTTAGTAAAAATATTTTAAATCTGATATAAACAGTCCTAAAGGAACCTAGTAACTTTGCAGTGCATTTAAAGATAACTAAATGGAAAATTACACATATCTAAATTCAGAAAGCTGACCATTTCTGGACAGCTACCTTACATAAAATTGTAGATTCCATGAGGTTTTTAGTAGAAAGAGAAAAAACTAAAATTCACCCCAAAAAGCTACTTTGCTTCCCATTAAGAGTGTTTTACCATATTAGTCATTGCATCATTTAGATATGAAGAGTTACAGGAATTTTAAATGTAGCATGCCACTTGCTTGAGGTAATCATAATTAAGGCAATCATAATGTCCTACCCCCAGATGCTAAACTGTGAAAGAATATAGTATAACTAGATTTCCAGAGTAAAATTTAAACAAAATGCATGTGTACTGTTTACATAAAATTTGTTTGCTATTGCCTCAAAAACAAAAAATAGCTAAAATGGTTGCTTTGAGATATCATAAAAACTGACATTTCTTAATAGAAATATGTCACTCCTGCTGAAGGAGTATAAGGAATGGATATATTTCATAGTCTGTCATTTCTTCTTCTGATTAAAAAGTAATGGTTTTTGTAGGAAGTCACAAATGATGAATTTCCAAATATATGATTCTGTACATGTAAAAAATGCAAAAATTCTGAATTCTACAATTTAAAAAAGCCACAGTAAAGTTAAAGCATACATAATGCATAGATAGTTAGTTTAACACATTCCTGATAGGGCTGTAATTAATGTCTTACTGCCAGGCATCTTGAACTGCCAGTGGTATGTGCATGACTATCCCATCAGGCAGCTTTTTATTTTATTAGTAAAAAGAACAATAAAAGTGATTAGATCCATTTGTACTGCCATTGTACAAGCCACTCAGTAGGACAGGTGTGCATATACCACTGGTGGATCAAGCCAGCAGGTATGTGTTAATGGTAAGAAACATTAATATTACATTAAATTTACTTTATTTAATGAAAGCATAAAATTTATTATGTCTGTTTTCTTTCTAGACGGACTCCATTTCTAGGTATGTTTTACTTTTTTGTATTAATTTATGTTCGCTATTTTAGCTTTCCTAAAAATATGTTGTAAAGGGTATTTATGGATTTTGTACATTCTTAGAATTAGTTGGGTAGTAAAAATCTGTACATATTTAGATGACTTAATGACTTATTAGCTTTCTTTGTTGAATGCTTTACTTTAGTTCACTGGTTATACTAGGTCACTATGAAAGAAAGATTTTTCCCAAATCTATACAACATTGATACTTTTTCCAAAGTTTTCTAAGTTATTTCAGTGTTGACTATCTCACTAATATGAGAGACTGATGAAATCTGTATTTGGTCAGAAATTTATTTAAGTATTCAGCATCTTTTTCTTTATCTCTGCTTTAGGTAAAAAACTGAATTTCTCTTACTCATAATTGCTAAAATAACTCACAAATAAGAAACATTCTTCCTATTCAGGATCAACTCACTGTCCTTTTGGATGTTCTGTATTTTATGAAATCTGAAGTGGTACTAATTTTAAAATACAACTATACACTACTAAAAACAGAAAAAGTTCTACCACTTAAATGGTAATGTCATCCTTTATAATATATGTTCTGTTATCAGATGTTAGAAAATGAGAAAAGATTACATAATTTAAAGCTGTTGAAATAATTTATCATAATGTAAAACTACTTTTGACTCCTGCGTATGGAAATCAATAATACTAAAAATAACCCCCCATTTATTATGTATTGCAAAAATAATGAGATAACAAGATTGGGATACTATTACTATTTTGGAGTATAAAGTAAATATATACTAGAATATATATTAATTAATTTTTGGAAACATATAATAAAGCTTTTGATTTAAACTCATCTTTTGAAGATATGAAAGCAGTTCCACATCAACTAGTGATCGGTATGATTCCCTGCTGGGTCGCTCTGGATCATACAGTTACTTAGAAGAAAGAAAACTTTATAGTAGCAGGTTGGAAAAGGACGACTCAACTGATTTTAAAAAGGTACTAGGGTCATTTAGTTATATTTAGTTAAAATTAAGTTATCTTTTGTGTTGAGATATTATATTTTGAAGACCTCATAATGAAATCAGTATCTTGAAATAACTTACATAGTTTTTGACCAGTAATGATGGGTAGAATGTGAATAGCTGTTCATTTTTTAAAGGGAAAAGTATTCAGAACTTTCCAGATTTAAGTGTTTCAGACCATTACTGTGGTTAAATTGAAAGGGGGCATGCAGAGGTGTCGGGTATGTGTGGCATTACACTCTTTTTTTTTTTTTTTTCTTTGCTAATAGGAAGCAGACAGAATATGGATTTTTAAAAGTGACTTTAATTTTCCTAGGTAACTGAAAAACTTTTGATAGTTCAGGCTATTAAGGATTAAGGATGAAAATACTATAAGAAATCCTAGAAACCCTGCAACCTAGGATTCTGAGTATTACTAATCTTTACCTTGTGAGCTTAGAATAAACTGATGAAGTTTGTTGAAAAGGCTTGTAGTATTTGTTTCCCTGGTATCTGGCATCTATTTGAATTAATGCTTTCTGATCAAGAACCAGGAAGAAGAGACTTATTTTACAGTAGCAGGTATTAACTCAGTAAAGTCAGGTGTTTAGGATACTGAAATGTGCTGCCTAATGATACTTCTACTCATGAACAAGTGAAGGTGGAGGTATTGTCCGGCTCTCATGAGCATCTTCCATATAATGAGAAGAACAAACATTATCAAACTAATGAATTATAATTTTAAAATTGAGACAACTACCCTGAAGTAAAGATATAATCTTATAAAAGTATATAACAAAAAAGTGATGGGCCCTGTGAATAGATTTTCTAAGTAAGGCTTTAGCCAAAAACAAAAGAGTGATTAGTTGTAAGCTACTAAAAGTGGAAGAGAAGGGTGTTCTAGGTAAAATAAACTGTAAGCACATGGGCCTGGTGGCAAAAGGGTATATGATGTGTTGAAAGAACTTAAAATTCAGGGTATAGGCTGGAACTGCTTCCTTCTAGACCGTTTTAAAGACGCTTGTATGTTAAAAACTTTAGGAACCTATTCAGAAGTCTTTAATTGGTTGGGGGAAGGGTTAAGAATGGTTCACATATGAAAAGTATGAGATTTCCCTTTTGAAAAGTTGTGCTGCCTTGTGTAAAACAGAAGGACAGGAAAAACATCTTGTTATTATAATAGTCCCAGGTAAGAGATGAGTATAGTGAAAATTACCATGAAAATAATGGGAAGGGGCAGGGGAACAATATAGTCAACTATTGTGTAGATATAAGGTCCCACTTTAGCAGATAACTGATCTTTTTATGAGAATGTGCAAAGTTAGACCTTTTTTTTTAGTAAAGATTCACATTTTGAATGCTGGAATAGTTTATGAATTTACTCTGGACTATAGTACCTGCATATAACTATCAGTCTCCACCTTGCAACTGCAAAATATTAAAATGCATTTTAATATATCCTTGGTAGTACATAGGTTACATTAATCTTGCTGTTTTAACCATTGAGAAATACCTTCTTAAAATATTAGGAGAGTAGATAAGTAATTTGTTCTTCTCCCCTAATTTTTATAGCTTTATGAACAAATTTTAGCTGAAAATGAAAAGCTGAAGGCACAGCTACATGATACAAATATGGAACTAACAGACCTTAAATTGCAGTTGGAAAAGGCCACCCAGGTTTGTATCATTTTTTCTTTGTTATTCTCAAGCTATACCCTCAGCCTCAAAATTTCTTTATGCTGACTCCTTTTATAATTTCCTTCTATTCAGAAGCCTAGAGAAGACAGTTTTTCATAACAAATTGAGAATGCCAAGTGAAACTCAGAACCTTGCACAAATGATTTAGAAATTGTTTCCCAAGCTCTTTTCCCATGAAACACTAATTTGGGAAATAGTGATAGGTACATTTTCTCTTCAGCCTTCTTTTAAAAACAAAATAAATCAAAACTTTGTGGTCAGAGGATCTTGGAAAATCCTGCATCTGTACATCTTAAAGATTATACTTGTACTATTTATATGTTAAAATTTCCTTTATGTTTTCCTAATAAGTGTTTTTTATTGGTGCATATTAATTTTACAAAATACTTCATTTCATCGTGTTTTCACACATGCATATAACGTATTTTGATCATACCTATCGCCCATTACCTTTCCTTACTCCACTTTCCCAGTCCCTTTCCTCTTCAGTTTTCAGCTTTCCTGTCACTAAGACACTACCCAACACCCACAATTTAAAGGAAGAGAGGTTTAATTTGGCTCACTGTTCAGGGGATTCAGTCCATGGTCTGCTAGCTCCAAAGCAAAAATATCATAGAGAAAAGGCATGGCCAAGCAAACCTGCTTGTTTCACGGTGGTTAGTTAACAGGGGAGAACAGTGCCGGAATGGAAGAGGCCAGCGAACAGGCTTACACCCTCAAGGTCATACCTCCACAGTTCACCCAGACATACCCAGAAATGTGTTTCACCAATCCTCCAGGCAGATTCAAAAACTAGTCAAGTTGACACACCACCCTAACTGCCACATCATCCTTGTTTGTTTTCTTTCTAGATTCCACAAATAGAGAACACATGCAAAACTTGTTTTTCTGAGTCTGATTCATTTCATGATGATATCCAGTTCCATCTGCTTTCCTGTAGATGACATAATTTTGTTCTTTATGGCTGAATGATACTGCCTTATATATATATATATAGCATAATTTTTTAATCCATTGACAAGCACTTAATTTGTTTCCATATCCTGACTATTGTGAATTGTGCCATAATAAACATGGATATTCACATATTTCTGTAGTTTGATACTTATAATTCCTTCCAGTATATGCCAAGGAACACTATCACTTGATTACATTATAGTTCTATTTTGAGTTTTTTGAGAAATCATTATACTGATTTCCACAGTGGCTGTAATAACTTATATTCCTTTGTTTTCCCCCACATACTCAACAGCATTTATTGCTTATTTTGTGTTTTTTATTATAGCCATTCTGATTGGGATGAGATAGAATCTTATTTTTAATTAAGTTTATTGGTACATTATAGGTATACAATACTGTTACATTCATCATTAGGATCTTACACCTTTACATGATGTATCTTGGTTCTTCTTTTTCCCCAAGATAGAATCTTAATGTAGTTTGCTTTGCATTTCCCTGATGGCTAAAGGTGTTAGAGCATGTTTTCATGCATTTATTGCCCTTTTGTAGTTCTTTTGAAAATAGTCTTTTATTTTTGATTGGATTATTTATGGTTTTTTGGAATTAAGTTTCTTGGGTTCTTTATATATTATGTATATTAATTAATTTTTGTCAGAAGAGTAGCTGGCAAAGATTTCCTCCCATTCTGTGGGCTGTCCACTTAATTTTTTCCTTTGGAGAAGCTGTTTAATTTAGTGTAATCCCATTCATCAGTTCTCACTGTTATTTTCTGAATTATTAAGTTTCCTATGCAGAAAGTCAGTACCTGTGGCTGTATCTTGAAGTGTTTTCTTCCAATAATTCCTAAATTTCAGGTCATATATTTGGATCTTTGATCCATTTTGTGTTAATTTTTACAGAATAAGAGATGGGGCTCTAGTTTTAATCTTTTACATAAGGATAACCAATTTTCCCAGCACCATTTACTATAAAATCTGTCTCTTTCTCCAATATGTTTTTGCCCCTTTGGTGAAGAATCTGATAGCTGTAGCTGTGAGGGTTTATCTCTTTATCCCCTATTGTATTTTATTCATCTACAGGTCCGTTTTTATGCCACTATAGCATTTTTTTGTCATCATAGCTCTGTAGTATATTTGAAAGTAGATATTGTGATACATTTAGTATTACTGTTTTTGAGGAGTCCTATAATTTTTAATAAGACAAATTTGTTTAATTTTAACATGATACTGTCTAGTATAAGTGGCAATGATCTACAATAATATATTCACCAGTTATGGTGGCACATGCTTATAATCCCAGCACTTGGAAAGCTGAGACAGGAGGATGACTGCATGTTCAAGACCAGTCTGTGCTACATCTTGGAATGCATAGCAAGATCCTCTCTTCCCAAAAACTGGCATATTCAATTCTATGCATAGGACTACATTTATATTCACCTTCTCTCAATTTCTAAAATTTATTATCTGTTGAATTTATAATTGTTCCCAGGTCCTTCTTTTTTTTTCTTTTTAAAACCTCTGTTGTGTTATAAAGCAGTTGTCTATGCAAAATGGATGATGTGCTAACAATTCAGGGGTCGGGCTGATTTCATAGTGAGATGTCATAACTGGAGTGTCATACAAGTTAAAGTTAGTCATTTAGACTTCATAGTAAACTTGACAGTTATCATCCTTTAATTTGTAAAAGAAGCCTAGTGAGCCTCCATACACGAAAATGTTCTAATAAATTTTCTGAAATAGCGTTAGCTATTGCAATTTGATCATCTTTTTTTCTTTTTTTCTTTTTTCTTTTTTCTGTTTCCAGTATCAGAGATCAAACTCAGGACCTTGCACTTGCAAGGCTTTAGACACGTTGCCACTGAGCTAAATCCCTGGCCCTAGTCATATTTTCTGAGTGATTGTGGCCCTTGTTGCTGTTCCCTATTATAGTTCTCTGTTAGAGTGACATAACTAATCTGTCTCCCCTACTTAGTTCCTTTCCTGTGTTTCTCTCCTTGTCTACATATCTTGTCATCTAATTCTTCTTGTATGTGTTTTATTCAAACTCTTCAAGAGAGTGGAACTGATAGAATTATTAGTTACAGTATAGAGCTGCCTTTTGGTGCTCATGGTTCTACTCACTGAACATGGCCCTAAATCACTGGCTAACTGATAGCGTACTACTTGTGGGGAGGTATCAGTGTAGCTCAGTAGAAGAACATATGTTTAACATGTGTAAGACCCTGGACTCAGAGCCCAGCACCAAAAATTAAGAAAGAAAAAAACTAGCCTCCTGTTGGTCAGGTACAAATATTAAATCCTTTATCTGGAGAAAGAAGTCACCGGTTTACAAAGAAAAAGAGCGTCCACATTGGCAGGCATTCTGAGTATCAGGCCCAATATATGGAATTAATAATGAGAAGGATAATTCATAAAAACAAAGTGATAAACATTTATCTTCTTTTGTTTAACTTTAGAGCATCTGTTTTGAATAAAGTCTACTCTGAATTCTTCCACCTAATTTTATATGACTTCATAAATATTCATGAATATACATACATATCTGTGGCAGTTTTGACAGTTGTGTGAAATTTTTCCCAAGGAAAACTATTGTCCTGTTAAGAATCTTTAGCATATTTGAAGCCTACATTCAATCTTCAGGAGTATAAAACAATAATAATATTGAAATTTAGGTCTCTCATAATATTTAGCTAAGAAACACTGAATCCATGAATCCCTTATTCTAGCACCCTCTATCCTGTACAAGGAAGAAAATTGCCAGTGTACCTGGAACCAGTTTGCTGAATACCACTTTGCCAAGTGACAAGTTCACTAGATTTACAAGTAGTGGTTTTAAGAGCTTCAACTAGAATGTGTAATTAAAACTATTAAATTGATGACTTTTTAATCCATTAAATTGGCAAGCAAATCATAAAATTGCTGAAATGTTTCTGTTAGGGCAAGGCCCCAATAAAATGCTAATTTCCCCTCCAATGTGTTAATTTTATGTGATAGCATTGCTCCAGCTATTTCTGAATTTTTTTCAGGTGCTTTTGAGTGTCATTTATAATTTTTTTCAGCCTTTTAAATGTTTTTGATTCATTTGTAGATCTTTAAGTGACCTATCAGCCTTTAACTTACATATCTAGCCGTTAAAATGTTTTTAAAGGGCCGGGGATTTAGCTCAGCGGTTCGGTGGCCTGCCTTGCAAGCAAAAGGACCCAAGTTCGGTCCCCGGTACCAAAAAAAATGTTTTTAAACCATCAAAAAAAAAAATTTAGTTCAGTGGCAGCGTGCCTGCCCCACAAGCCCAAAGGTCCTGAGTTTAATGCCTGGTATCAAAAAAAAAAAAAAGAAAGAAATTAAAATTCCCTAAAACAGTTCTGTTCTTATCTGAAACTGAATTGTATTTCTATCAAGAAGCAATTGAAATACATCAACTTTTTTCCAGAACAATTAAATGAAAAATAATAAAGCCACTTAAAATGACAATAAAGATAACCTGGTTATGATTAATTCTTTAAAAATTTATGTACTATAGCTATAAAGAAGAAATTCTGAGAGGATCAAAAAATAATTGTCCTGGGCCAGGGATTTAGTTCAGTGGTTTGGTGGCCTGCCTTGCAAGCGTAAAGACCCAAGTTCAATCCCCGGTACCAAAAAAAGAAAAAAAAAATGTCCTAAAGATATTAAAACGTGAATGTAAGTTGTAAGTTACTCCATTAATCCTGGGATGTGGGTCCATTGGCGAGTGCTTACTTAGCATGCATGTGAGGGCTTGAGTTCCATCCCCAGTACTACAAAAAAGCCTTTGAATTATCACATTAAAGAATGAAAATGTGCTTTAATTGATGATGAAATAGGTTTTATTTAAAGTATATTTTTGTGGTGAGTCATGAAAGACAGTTCTTACTAAAGTTGTCAAAACTTTTTGTAAATTAATAAAATTGGTTTTTGAGGAATTCATTTTCAGAAAATTGATCAAAAATCTCAGCAAAAACATTTATGCAAAGATCAAGCTAAATAAGATCTAAAGTGCTTTCAGTGGGCTCATTCTCAATATCCAGATAAAGAGCTCCCCACGATAAGATGTAACATGTGACTTAAAACTCAAGGGCTCTTTTGATTTCCCTGCAGCCAAATTTAGGTCTCAGCATTTAACCAACTTTTGAGTTGGTCACGTAGTGTGTCAAATGAGAAGCCTGTGCTCACCCAGAAGAAAGCTTGTAGCTAGAATTTTTACAGGTGAAAATATATGTGAACCCTCTTAGCAATTGTAGATCACAGTTGATTGGGAAAGAACTATCTAGACCAAGTGAGCAAGACTATTACCATTTGTGAGAGAGGACAAAAAAGTTCAATTTAGTGGTCTGGCTCTGTGCATACAAAGTCACTCAGTGTGGTAATAAACATTTAATTGAGTGTCCTGGAATCTGACTGTTCAGATTACCACTCCCGATGGCACAAGAAGAGAACTTGAACATTGGAGTGGAACTAGGATATTTTTGTTCTTACTCCACAGCATTGAGCCATCTTCACCCCCAAGTAAACCACAAACACTCCTGTGGAAAAGTGTTATAGACCACATGGAAGCTTTGAGGGTCATTCCTTTTCTAAATATTGCTTTTATTCATATTTCAATACACATTGTATCTTTTTCTCTTTTTTTTACTCACACCTATATATTATGCCACCTGAATATTGTGATTTCCTTTAACACTTATAAAAGAAAAGTTACCGTGCTCATTTTGATCACACTTACATCCCTTTTTTCATTTCATACTTTTTTACAGAGGCAAGAAAGGTATACTGATAGGTCACTATTGGAAAAGGAAAAAAGGGTAAGTGTCCATCTTATTGACTAATTGTTTTCCCTCTATATAAGCAGTGGTCAGGTTTTTGTAGATGATATATAATTTTAATTAAACTGATACTCATTAGGGAATGTTATACAGTTTAGCTTCTTTTTTAAAGTTCTGGGTGGGGTGTCTCTGAAGGATGTAATGAACTTAAATAAAATTTAGTGAACTACTTATGTGTGTGTGCATGTGTGGTACTGGGGCTTGAACCCAGGATCTCCACACTGAGGTATATCCCCCACCCATAAACGCCATCTTGTTTTTGTCATCCTCCTTCCTCAGCCTCTCAGAGTTCTGGGATTACAGGTGTGCATCTCCAGCCTAGCTCACATTATTCTTCTCATTTATTAAAGGTTTTTCTGATTATGAAATGTAAATATTGTGATAGTGAGGCCTGATACTTTCAAAATGCTGTTCATCTCTTTGATTTTCCATGGATATATTTATTAAAACATTGTAATCACATGTATATTTGTTTTCAAAATTAAAATATATCTTTTGAAATAAAATGTTCAAATCTAGAGACATCAACTTTTCAAATTCTTTTTAAACAATATTTGAAATTTGAGTTGAGCATTAAACAAAAATTAGGATTACAAAAAAATCTTTGTGCTGGTTCCACCAGCTGCTTCACAAGCACAGGACCTAAGTTCCATCCCTGGAGCCAAAAAAAAAAAATCTTTATGCTGTTTTATACCTTTTTGTAATTGTTTATTGACTGTTATGTATTTTCTTGTATTTCTCTCCACTTATTATTGCTTAGAAGTTTGGAAATGGCCATAAGAATAAATACACAAGTTTCGTCTGACCAGATGAGAATGTATAAATAATCTAAAAGTTAAAATGCTTCAAGTATATCTGTAATGCAGCTGAACAGCTAGACTTGTGGTGTTTTGACCAGAGAAGGATTCATCTTGTTAGCTATTTCTGGGACAATGACTGAACAGCCAGCAGCAATTTTCATGAAAACATTTTTCTTCAATTCCAAAGTTTAAATAAAAGTTTACCTTTCCACCAAAAATGTTTTAAAAATGTAAAATATAAAAATAATCAAATGTAGTCGGTTAATGTCTTTTATTTAGTAAATTATGACTTGCTATAGCTGCCATTTATGATTGCAGCAGCTTTTGAAAATCATTGTTTAGTTGTTTTTTTAAAAATTGATATAACTAGTTGGGTGTGGTGGTACATGCCTGTAATCCCAGCTCTCGGGAGGCTGAGGTAGGAGGAAGACCAGCCTGCACTACATAGTTCCAGGTCAGTCTCAACTACATAGTGAGACCCTGTCTCAAAAAACCAAAAAAATTTTTGATATAACTAATAATGGCTAAAATATAGTTGCTTATTAAATTTAATGTTAACTTTTATATTATTTATATTGATATTTGTTACATTTTATAATAATAGCTGTTAGTATATTTTATCTCCAAGATATGCAAAAATAATAAAATCGTTTTTGTATTAACCATTCTAATGGTCAACATGAAAGATAACAAAATATATTTAATTAAAATATATATATTTGAGACAATCACATTTTTAAAAATATTTTTCTCTTGAAAGTATTATGTTCATTACAAAAATATCAGCAAAAGAAGAAAATATAAAATTCACAATCTTTACACTGAAATAACTAATATTTTGTTACTTATCCTCATGATTCACACACGTTTATTAACACACATTCTCAACTAGCCTTATTTTTTTCTGCTTCTGAATGCAGATAAACAATGAAGTGGGTATATTAACTCAGTTTTATATACATTATTATCGTAATAACAGCACTGTATATATCAGGCAGGCACTGGGCTAAGCAATTTATATATTTTTTCTCTAAATGTTTTTTATATTAGTAACTTTTTATTTGTTCAGCACAAATTACTTACAGTTTTCTAGTTACCAACAGGATGCGGCAATTGGGTATAATGTTCTTGTCTTGCTGTACCAAGTTAAAAATCTCAAAAAGTCCTAAAAAAAATTGAGGTTCATAGCTAGATTACCTCTCAGAAGAAATATTCTATTTCTGATATAAAATTATGAGAATTAGATATAACACTGTACATGTTTATATTTTGGGAAGTGCAGTGGTTCACATAAATTTGCCGTGACTATATTATTAACTCAGCAAAAGATAGATAGATAGATAGATAGATACACACACACATTTTCATCTATATAACAATGTTTAAGCATGTAAATATTAGATTAACATGAGACTGTGAATGGGATTCCATTTTTTAAAAATCACCCTAGAAACATTGACATTTATTGTAAATGTGGTTCATTACTAAATATCAACATTAATTATTAATCTGGGAAGGAATGTCTTGGAAATAGTGTCAGTGTGATTAAACTAAATGTAAATGGTTTGTATCTGAAAGGTGACCGGCAAGAGTCAGTATCTTCTGGGCGGTATGACCTAACCAGTTTTACAGCTCATCATTTATTGCTGCTTGCTTTTTGCATAACACCCTACAATGCTTATCTTATAAGGGAGAATAAAACAGTGCACTGCAATAATACTTGTATGTTGGCTTTGTCTGTCACTTTTTGAAATGAGTTTAGAATAAATGCTGCAGATGCTTCTCCATTAGATTCACTGCATTAATGCTACACACAATATCAACCTATATAGAAAACTATAAAGTCGGTTGGATGAATAATGGATAGTAAACATTGTGGGTTGAGGAGATTCTTTTGAGATTGTAAAGTACACATATTAGGCATGTTTGCTTCTTGCTGTTTTGCTTCCAGCGCTGTAGTATAATTGCATCTGTGTGTGATTTTTTTTTTTTCTGTTCTATTCAGTCTTCATTCTTGAGTATTGGTTTCCTCTGTCACTGAGTTTTACATAACTAAAATATGGTAATAATTTAAGTATGTAGCATGTTACCAGAAAAATAAAAGCTTTAAAGAAAGAGCTTGCAAAAAGTAATAAAGATCTTTATGTTTATTTCTCTCAAATTTTGGGGAGCTCTTTACATATCACTGGCATCACATCTTTTTCTACACTGCTCCTTATTTTATCTTTAATTCTAAAGTAGCACTGTTTTACAATATAGATGAAAACTTAAAGATGTAGTAATTATATAATTAATATAAGTACCTTAAATTGATCTAGGAACGAAGAGCTCTAGAAAGAAGAATATCTGAAATGGAAGAAGAGCTCAAAGTAAGTAAACTGATGCTATTTTTTAGAGATACTGCTATTTATGAATTTATATTTAATACTATTGTAGATATTAAAAATTGTTCTTAAAGCCATTACCCAGTTTGTAAATTATCTAAATCTTATGCTTCTCTTTCTTAATAAGTCCCGGTTTTAGTGAGCTAGAAGGGAATTCAAAGCCCACATTATTTTGATAATCTGTTTGTGTAGTACTTTATATATTCAGGTATAAAAATATTAGGTAATAATAACTGTAAATATGAGATTTATTTGTTCTTTACATTTGTATTTACTGTACTTCTTGGAGAGTAAATGGTAGAAGGGGATAGTAAAAGATAAGATGTTCTTCATTAAAAGTAAGACAGAGGAAGGCACTGGCAGAGGTATATTGTATCAAACTACTCTGCATTACCTTTAGATGTAATGATTTGTTTTGAAGGTTGAACTCTGCAGAGGAGATAAATAAGCAGAGGTAAATGACTTACTGCAGCATCTTACGTGAAATATTTATCACATTATGAATTAACTACTGCATTGGGAATTGTACCAAAGAATTAGAATTTCAAAAGTTATTTTTTATTGAAAGTTTGTGATTAAAACTTTATTGAAGGGCCAGGGATTTAACTCAGTGGTGCCACTGCCTACCTCACAAGTGCAAGGTCCTAAGTTCGATACCCCCCAAAAAAAATTACTGAATGGCTTTGGGGACAAATCTTTTGGATTTGAATTATGTATTGTTTAGTTTGAAATGGAATTTTAGGAATAAATTGTTTACCTTATTCTCTTAGAATATTCTTTTAAGACTCAATATTTTCTTTTTGTATTCATTACCTGTGATCCTTTATATTTTTATTGTACTGCTTTCTTATTTTTTTATTCTTATTTCTTTATGTTCTGATTCCTGCAGAACCTGCACCAAATAAAGCAAATTCAAACTCTGAGAGAGTTAAATGAACGACTCCTGACTGAGAATAGGGCCTTGACAAGAGTAGTAGCCAAACGCTCAGGGTTCTGTAGGCAACTGCAGTCTGTGAGCCTATAATTTATAGTTTCATCATTTCTTCTTGGTAGAGCCAGGCAGGTGTTTTTGTGTTAGTAAGCGTGTTTTTGTTAAGAGCTTACTTTTACCAATTAATGCCATTGTGTGTGGAGCTTATCATATAACTATTTAATTATGCATGGCTTCTCAGAATGTTAGAAAATGTCACTAATTATATATTACAACTGATAAGCTACAGTAAAATTAGGGAGTGATTTAAGAATTTAAAGATGTCTGAGCTATGTAAAGCTTGCACACTTTTTTGCATCTAAAGGCTAATATTTAGTCATTTACTAGAAATTGGGACATAATACAACATTTATTTCACATAGACACACACAATTAATACATTTTTTCAAACTGAAGAGTACACCTACGTTATCTGTTTGGGGAAATAATGTCATTTTAAGTGAAAACCAGCTTAGTTTATATTCATTTAGCTTTCTGTTACAAGTATCACAGTATATAAATTTTAAGATTACTATAGTTTTATAAACATTCTGAACACAGATATGAATTGGTTCCACATGATTAAATTCTGTGAAGACTTAGCTTAAGTTAGTTTTTCAAGTAGATGTTTTACTTAAAATTAGATAATCTAGTACATTTTGAAAATTAGGAAAAAGAGTTAACTATTTGGAAGGTAGGAGTTATGGTCGCAAATATAAGCTATTCCATCTCCTAATCATCTTGGTAGAACACATATAGTTTGAATTGATTTAGAAAATGTGTGACGTTTCTGTTCCTCTTTCAATTTGTCTGTAAAACACCAGAAAATTGAATTGTTTTGTTGCAATATAGATGGGTGTGTTTTTCTGCATGTCTCAGATACTTGTTTTTGTTTGTTTGTTTGTTTGTTTGGTACCAGGGATTGAACTCCAGTCCTTGGCGCTTGCAAGGCAGGCCACCGAACCGCTGAGCTAAATCCCCGGTCCTTACTTGTTATTTTTTATACAGTATTGTTTTCGTAGATGCACATTTACACTTTTAATTTTACAAATATTTTATATTACTCCAATAGCAATAATAATTTCCATTAATGAGCACCTATCTTGGATCATTGTGTTAAGGCTTTAGGCCTTGTACATGAATCCTTTAAGGAATTTTAATAATTCAGAACAAGTCTAACTTCCTCAAAACTTTCCTAGATAAACTGATTTTCTTGTGGAAAATTAGTGTTACATTACATTAGTGGGACATTAGTATTGGCATAAAATAAGAGGCTTTGGTTTAGGTGCTGATGGGAACTGTTACTGAAACTCTCCCCCAAAAAAGCCTTTTCTAACAAATACAGGCTTCATTTTCTTGGCTGCTCTTCTAATATGGTATGTTGGTATGTTTGTGAGTCATAAAATCAAATGATTTAATCAATTACATCAGATAACTTTGAGAAAATAAACCTTCATTTCATCATTTCTTAAACTAATTAGCTTCACAAAATCAGGTGTTTTTTCCATCTTCCATGATACGTGTTTTAGACATTAGAAATACATAGAGCTGACAAAGCTTGATCATTTGTTTTGTAGTGGAAATGTGACGTTTGTTAATAATGTTGTATCTTTTTATTGAGGTAAAACATTTTTCTGTTTTTGCTCTCCCAGATGTTACCAGACCTAAAAGCAGACAACCAGAGGCTAAAGGATGAAAATGGGGCCTTGATCAGAGTTATAAGCAAACTTTCCAAATAGAAAAAGAAAAAAAAAAACACACAAAGCAGCAAAATTGCACATATTAGTAGCCCAGTGGACCATAATTGACAGTCACTGGAAGCTTGGGAAGAATCCTTGGAGACTGTCATTTTCGGATATCCTGCCAAATGCCCTCTTATTAGGATTTTTGTTTTGTTTAATTTTCTGTTTTGTTTTGTTTTGTTTTTTTAATCAAGACCATTGTTTCATGTTAATGCAGCTGCTGAGAAGATTTTTTTTTTTAATGACTGAGAAAACTTGTTTACAGCTCCAGCATATAAGGAAAGTGTTCAAGGCCAGATATGCCTCAGATATTTAACCAGTAAGCCTTAGTTGTACATAAATACCTTTGTGTCAACAAAAACTTTCAGCTCTCACAGAAGACAGTTATTCAAAATTTTTTGATGTGCCACAGTTTCCAGTTTTTCAATATTTAATTTTTTTTCTTTACATCTAAGTTTGGGTTTGTATCTTTCCTTCTAACTCTTCATGTGGCAGAGTCTTCTATGTTTTTACAGCTTTCTCATTTACAGAAAAAAAAACTTGTTCTTATGAGATTATTGTCATGTATTAGGCTAATGTGTTGTCTCCCACCTGGAACTGAATTGCTTGGTGGAGTATTTGCTTTCACTGTTTGTGCAATATGCATTTATTTCTTATATGAATGCTTTAAAGTGAGATTAGATCTTTTAAGTCCTATTCTGTCTTCATTGGTCACTTTTTGTTTTTTATTGTAGTATAAGATGTTAGATTCTGTAATCTTCACATTCATTTTAGCAGGTACTGAGTGATGCTGTATATATAAATAAGTGTATTGTGTTGATTTTTAGACCATCACATGGCATGCTTGACTATTTTCTTATTTCAAATGTCTGTTAATGCAAAGTAGGCTACTCCATGATAGTGTTAAAAACAAAATTTGCTAAAACTATGTGATATAAAGACTTTAAAAGTTACACGTTTTGAGGAGCCCTATCTTTACAAAAATTTTCTACTGTAAAGTGCTTTTACTTTTATTTTCAGTTTTAATTTCATAGTATTCAACCTTAATTAAAGTTGCATAACATAATTGCTTCACATACTTAATATTTATCTGAGTGCTGTCTAAAACTGTTGTGCTAGCCAAAGTGATACTATGAAATTATTTACGAACTTAACCACAAGTTAATGTTAAATGCACTGTTATTGCCATGTGAAGAGGCATTGACTTTGATACCACCATCATGTTCAGACCATTTTATACATTTCAGTGGCCTTTTTAAAGGGGGTAAAAACGTAAAACCAAGTATATAGTGAAGAAGGCTTTTATTTGGACAAATAGCTTTTATATTTTCATTAAACCATGCAAAAAATAATACATCTTTCTGGCACATAACTGTCTCCTTAACCACTGAACAATTCAGCCATTTGAATAAATTGTACGTTGTAAAGCTTATAGTAGCTGATTGTATTATTGAGTGTATTGTGTACTATATTAAATGTGAATTTGTACCCCTTCATTTTAAAAGGTCATTGTGTTCTACTGCCTATTTTACATTACTTTGGGATTGGGGAAAGGGTGTTTTGGTAAGCAGGATTTTAAGTCCTCTCTCTTGATTGGTTTTATGAAGATATAAGGTTATGCTCTTACTACCAAGCTCAGGATTCTTGATTTTAAAGGTACAAGGATAGTTGTGGGATTATATTTTTGGTTATATTTGAACTGTATGAATGGTGGGTCTAAATATAGAGAATTGCCATGGTCTAATGTGGAGGTAAAATGTACAAATAATTGACCAGCTTGAGTGACTGCAACATGTCCTGGTTGCACAACAGTTAGGCATGCTATGGTTTATATTTGTGAAGTTTGGGTGCCTGTGAAGAATGATTAAATACATGTTTCTAATATTTTAGTGTTTTGTATTTAGGTTATTTATTCTTTGTATCTAAAACTGAACAGCTACTGTGCTATATTGATTTTATTGGTAGTATTGAGCAGACCTTGTTTCTGCATGAAACTAGTTGCAAAACCCACTATTTTGGAAATAAAAATGTATTTTGACATATACAAATAAAATGAATAAAACTATTTTAAATGTGTGAACTTTTAATGAAGACATTTTAAATTTTGTTCTGAGATATTTAAATTCTGCATGGGTATTTTTTCACTAATTGCTTTACTTGGATACCAGTTTAATAATTTTTGAAATTGTAATATTGTGATAATTTGCACATTGTACATGCACATCTGTAAATGCAATCTTAACTGCCATATTTATGCAATCTGTGTACCAATTTGGACAACTGTTTATATGTTTTACATAAAGCTATCTGTATGCAGAATCTGAGAACTAGTTTTTTTATGATAAGTGGGTAAAAAAATAGTGAGTTTCAAGATAGTTGGTTTATAGCACAAAATTTCATTCCCATAAACATTTTGCGGTTTTGTTTTGTTGTTTTTTTGGGTACCAGGGATCAAACCCAGGACCTTGGCTTGCAAGGCAGATGGCAGAACCACTGAGCTAAGTCTCCGGCCCAACATTTTGTGGTTTTTAAAAATTAAACTTATGAAAAAATGAGAACCAAGACCTGTCATGTAAAGGTACAAGATCCCAATAATGAACATAATTGTACTATATACCTAAAAATTAAACTTATGCTTTTTCCTTAGCTGAAACATAGATTTATGCATATGTAAATAAAATACATAGATAAAATATCTTTGAAATTAAAAAATTTAATATTAGATCATTCTCTAATTTAGAATTATCCAGGGGTCAGTCTGCTAACATCTCAGTTAGGAAGTACTTTTGGGGCCAGGGATTTAGCTCAATGGTTCTGCCGCCTGCCTGGCAAAGCACAAGGACCTGAGTTCGATCCCCGGTACCAAAAAAAAAGAAGAAGCACTTTTGGTTTTTTATTTTGATGCAAGATTTGTATTAAGCCTATGTTTAGCTAAATTTTTTAATTCTGTCCTTTTCCTTCTACTTCCAGTGCTTTGCCTATTCATCCTCACAGAATTATTGGTATTAAAAAGAAAGCAAAAAAAAAAAAAGCATTCATAAAAAGCAACTATAGAACTAGCTAGGAGAGTGTTCATATGACAACATAAAATCGTTATTTTCTAATCCATTTGGCTGCTTTATTCTTTACCTAAAAGTTTATTACCACTTGGTCTTCCTGGCTTTTTCTCAGATTGTCATGACTCCCACTGCTAGCACTCAATGATTTTGTCACAAGAAAATAACCAGAGGCCAAATTCTTCTCTCAAAACTAGGACCATATTTTTCATAGGACATAATAGCTTTGTAGATTTTCTTTTGCTTTATCATTGTAAACAGAAGATAGAACAAACTCCATTAGTGATTATTAATTGTCCATTAACCCTATCTTGCTAATGCAAACCCTTATTGTAAAGGTGAAAGCTGACCAGCGTGCAGTCTTTCTGTAATGCTTTGTGTTTTATACTGTAGTGTGATCTGTCTTCAGTGTGCGAGTTCAAAAGGTAATATACATCGAAATACTAATGTCCAAAAATACTGGGCTTTTTGTTATTTTGTTTTTGTTTTTGGTACCAGGGATTGAACTCAGGACATGCAGTGGAACCACTGAGCCAAATTCCTGGCCCCCAAAATACTGTTTTTAATGAAGTGTAAGTTACTTACTTTCTTACTATATTTCTGTCAATGGTATCTATTTCTTGGCTTTCATTTTGGAAAGCTTCTCTGGGGTTAATTACCATATAAATAACATAAATAACAGTGCTCTTTCTCTTTGGTAAGTGACATAAAGAGTATTGCATTGCTGTTCCATACTTGCAAAATGATTAGATTACAAAGTAATAAATTAAAATTGAAATATAGGCACCAGGGCCAGGGATTTAGCCCAGTGGCCCACAAGCACAAGGTCTTGAGTTTGATCCCTGGTCCCCTGCCAAAAAAACATAGCCCAAAGTGTAAAATGCTATTTCTGTAATAAGGTAACAAATAATTAATTCTATCTTATTAATGTAACTGCATTTTTATTAAAAGCTTTCTAAAGTTTATTAGAAATAAGCTCTTTTGAGCCAGGTATGTCAAAATGTGACTGCTTAAATTCCAGTAAATATCTGGGGCATAAAAGTAACTAGATTTTCGCTTTTAAAAAGCTGAAAGAAGAAGCCGGGCATGGTGGTGCACGCCTGTAATCCCAGCACTCGGAGGCTGAGGCAGGAGGATCACTGTGAGTTCGAGACCAGCCTGGGCTACATAGTGAGTTCCAGGTCAGTCTCAACTACATAGTGAGACCGTGTCCCAAAAAAACAAAACGAACAAACAAAACAAAAAAAGCTGAAAGAAGAGGAAAACTTGAAAGAAATGAGCAGTATTAGTAGGTCTTGGTAAGGGCGTGTACTCGTTGCTTAATCTTATTTGATCCTTAAGCTAGGTAAATAGAGTATATCTCTAATTTACAGATGAGAAAATTGAGATTTCCCGGTTACAGATTCAGCCCCAAAGCCTGCTGCAGTGCAGAGCTCTTAGAACTCTAAATCCAAAACTTTTTTTGAGGGAGGTATGAATTAATTTTACAGTTTATCTGCATGAAATTGTGTTACTTATGAGTATTTTATATTTTTAGACTGAAGATATATGTTTGTCTTTAAGGATGACATTTCTTGATTTTTTCCACCCTTTGTTTTCTAATCCCATATCCTATCCCCCATGCTCCATGATTATTTGATGAATGTTCTACTGCACAAACAGCTAGTTGATTCTCTGGTGCAAATTCTCACTGTGTCCAGTAATCCATCATAAGTTTGTAAAAGATTTCACATACCGGTGTAAAAAACAAATTCTTTTTGCATTCTTCAAACTAGATTTTTTTTTTTAAGTAGTGATTAGCACTTAATTCCAAGAACTCTTTTACTTCCTTGTAAGAGAGCCTATATGCTATGATTTAGCAGCAGATTTTTCTTATAGGTGAAAGTATGTGCAGAATACTAAATAATGTAAAAGATAAAAATTGCTCTTTTTTT